TGGGAGTTTGCACAGGGGAGTAATCGAGCATGCAGATTACGAATACAATATTAGTTTTCAAGATCGTCCATTACTTTTATCGATTTTATCGATTTTTTGAAAATTTGAGCTAGGGGGCTGGAATTTGGCACAGGGGTGTAATCGAGCATGCTGATCACCCCCCTTGGGGATGATCAGCATGCTCGATTACCCCCCTGCGCCAACTCCCAGCCCCCTAGCTCAAACTTTGCAAAAAAATCGATAAAATCGATAAAAGTAACCGATAATCCCGAAAACCAATATTGTATTCGGAATCCCCATGCTCGACTACCCCCCTGTGCGAACTCTCAGCCCCGTAGCTCAAACTTTGCAAAAAAATCGATAAAATCGATAAAAGTAATCGATAATCCTGAAAACCAATATTGTATTCGGAATCCCCATGCTCGATTACCCCCCTGTGCCAACTCCCACCCCCGTAGCTCAAACTTTGCAAAAAAATCGATAAAATCGATAAAAGTAATCGATAATCCTGAAAACCAATATTGTATTCGGAATCCCCATGCTCGATTACCCCCCTGTGCCAACTCCCAGCCCCGTAGGTGAACTCAGCAAAAAAATCGATAAAAATCGATAAAATCGATATCGATCGATGACGAAAAGTAGCCTATGACACTCGCCGGGGCCCAAAGTGTATGTGTGCCAAGTTTGGTCCCGATCGGTTCAGAAATGGAATTTTCTATTCGGAACATACGTACATACAGACATACAGACAGACATACAGACAGACATACAGACATACAAACAGACATTCAGCTTTATATATAAGATGATAGAGCAAAGCGAGAGCAAACAGGGACCACCAGCCAACTAGATTTTTTCATTCGCGACAGAAAAAAAAGTTGGTATACCTGCGCGCGTGGAGGAAGGGTCAAATAATGGCTTTTTCTATTTATTCGTTGAAACTTTTATTCAGCAAAAAAAAACAACTTAAATTCCTTTAGTCGTTATATAATCTCTAAAGTGTGGGTTACTTGTTTATGGCAGCCAAATATGTCTGGCTATCCTTATTTGGATCTGGTAGCATTGATATGTCAAATTAGACGGCCTTGGAAGAAATCTTACAAAATTTTCTCGAGTTTCTCTTTCCCTTCACTTGACTTTTTTGCATGACATACTATTCATGTGACAGCCATAATATCGCATCGCGAAATTTTTTTTCAATGGTTTTAATAAGAGTTATAACATTTCAAATCAGAAAATTGCAAATCTGACGAACTTTTGAAACAACCTAGTGTATGTGCTTACAAAAATCGAATGCATCTATAGCGTTGTGAAATACAATTTCTATGCTATTTGATATTCGGCTGGCACTAAAAATTGAACCTGTTGACATACACTTAACTAAATTTGAGACCGTGGATTTTGAAGAAGCTGACAACTGATATTCGAACAAAAATCTTGGAACTATGCCAGTTACATTGAGGATAATGACTTTTCTAGGCGACATCTTTAGCTGCGCGCGTCTACGTGTATCAGAAGGAGCAGTACTTTGGTTTCCTGTATGTTTGGTAAGGGTTGTTTCATACTGCCGCACTGACTGCAGCAGTCTGCTGCAGTCAGTGCGGCAGTCTGAAACAACCCTAATGCATTCAATAGTCAGAGGGAGCCTCAAAAGTGAAGCATGTGGGAGCCTCGCTACTTGGGAAGAAACTAATGTCGTTCATATACATCTTTTACGGTCTGTTTCCCAGCTTATTTCTGTAGATACCGTTGCTGTGCAAGCCGCTCTCGAATGCGCTGCCTTTAGTGCTCTTTTGAAAACACTCATCTTGGTGGTCCTGTCCCAACGTGTCAAAGGCAGCAAACACACATTCATTGAAGGCAGTGTCGGGCAATGAATTTTGAGATTTTGTGCTTACCTGAGCCTCTTCGCTATGCTGAATCCAATCCACATTAGAAAGCGCGAAATCGTCGAAAAAGGGCTCTAACGCAGGAGAAGGGGATTAAGCAGGTGGGCGGGATCTTCACCACTTTAAATTTATGCTTTCAGTTTCCAGAGCGATCTTCCCGATTTCGCTAAACGCCCTGACATCTCCACCCGCCTAGTGCGAACACTTGAGTTGAAATCGGAACCAAAAAGATCGCTCCGGAAGCTGAGCGTGACTTTACGGTGGGGAAAACCCCGCCCGCCTTTGATTTCCCTTCTGTGTTAGAGCCCTTTTTCGCCGTTTTCGCACTCTCTAGCGTGACATTTGGATTCAGCATAGAGAATAGGCCCGGGTAAGCACAAAATCTCAATGTCGACTTTTTGCCTGGACACTGCCTTTGAAGGCAGCGTTTCTTCATGGCGCTGCTTCCAAATATGGCACTCAACATTAGTGAATTCCTCAAAAAACCGCATTTTTGAGACAATTTTGTAAGAACCATGGACGAGTGCTTCTAATCCTCTCCTTGTCGCAAGCATTGACAGGTAGTCACTATGTGTTCGGCTGTGTTTGCCACGTGAAAACACGCCAAGGGCTGAGGAGAGTTCCTTCCGGGACAAAGCTCAGCACAGCTGGCACCGGGTCAAGCTGGATATCGTTCTTAGGGCGGAAAGCAAAGGGGATATCGTTTCTACAGGGGCCGAGGCGGAGAACTGCCGCAAAAATGCCGCCGGCATGCCACCGGCAGCCATTGGCAAGCTGTCCATCAACAAGCAAAGGCGTTGTTTCCAGCCGAAACGCAATAGAATGACACCAAATTTGTTGTGTGCATGCGCGTTGGTGGACCGGAACTATGGGCCAAAAATTTATGAAAACTTATGTGAATGAAAGTTGTGCCCAACTTTTTTTCTTAATTAGCTGGCACCGTGCCAGCTGGGTGCCAGCTGAGCTGGCACCGACACTTTGCTCACATAAGTTTTCATATTTTTTTCATAAAATGTATCTACACTGTAAAAGATTACATACGGAGAAGAAACAGTTTCATAATGTTCTCTTTTCAGCGTTTTATAGCAATTTGAAAACCATTCGGTCCGCTCCGCAGTTGAAAAATCGGCTTTTTCTGCTTCTTAAGATGTGATTCGACCACTTAAAAAGCTCAGAAAGCTGTGAAAAGTTCTTTCATGAAATCAGAAATGCATGAATACACTACTACATTTTTTTACATAATATAAAAATGATGACGGGTTTTCAAAACGGGTCAAAAGGGACTTCGTACGAAATTTTCAATATCAAACCAGACTTCGTTTTGAAATTTCCCTGGTGCCAGCTTGTGCCGAGCCCTGTTCCGGGCGGCGGGCCGTGCGAGGGAGTGGGCGTGTTCCTCGTGGTTCGGCCTTATCTGCGCCTATTTTCTTCTTTTGCAGGGGTGTTTGAAAGTCGGATTTGCGAGAGAGTTCTACATGAGGCTCTAGTACTCGGTTATGACAGTAGTCTCGGAGAGGGTCTAGATCTCAAAACATAGTCTAAGGAAAGAGACGAAGCGGAATAAAAAATATATAAAACTATCTTTCTTCTTATGTAAAGAATCCGAACATTAGATGTATCAAGCTCAAACTGAGGTATTTTATAGGTCTGGAATACACTCTATTGCCCCCACTCATAACTGTCTAGTGATATGCGTCGGCCAAGCAAAGAGGATATGCCAGACATATGAAGCTAGGTCAAACAAAGACTTTATTTTTACAGACTGGATTGAAATCATCCCACAAATTCCAGACTTACGACGGCCGATCATACTAACAGTAGAGCATTTCTACCTGTATGCCGCTCTTAATCGCGCTTACCTGGGGTTATTTAATACGCTGATCCCGAAAATTCACTTTTCGAAGCTTGAAAACAGCGAAAATAAGCGTTTTTTAATGCCCCTCCCTTTGAAATTGGACGAGTGCAGTAAGGCCGATAACGCTAAATCGTTGCAGGACCCAATGGTTATAGCGTTGCGGCGGGCAGCCTCCAATGGTGAGAAGGAAATTGCCAACTCGTCCAGATGCGTGTAAGATTGGCCTGCGCGTGTAAGATTGAGAGCGATTTTCTTGGGAGGGAAAGCATGCTGTGCAACCGGGATTGCACTGTTTTCATACTCGGGCGATAGGGAACCTAACGCATTAAAATCCCGAGTTGTTGGATTTTGCCGATCCACTGCCTTTAAATCCAGAACAGTTTACAGGATCTAGCAGAGTACGTATCGAAGGGTAAACATAGATGGGCTGGTCATAAATTAAGAAGAGAAGACGACACATGGACAAAAAGAACGTTAGAATGGATTCCAAGATCCTCGAAACCTCCACATAGAAGACCACCGAAGAGATATAACGAATTTGTTGCCAGTGTATACCAGCTACATCAGCAGTTGGAGTTTATTCAGGATTGTCCAGCAGCAATCGCAACCGGGTACTGAGGCGTCCATGGACGACGACTGCACGGAACCTTGAAGAATAGTCAAAAGTTGGGGCCCGTACGACGTGCGAGGACGGGTAAATAAGTAACCTGAGTAGTCCGCAACCTGGTGTCTTTCTGTATCATTTTTGGTTTTCTCTTGCCCCGCAGCAGTCACCCTTGTACAGTTTCCAGTCATAATACTGGAATTTCATAGGATGAGAAGATATCGAAGCAATTCTTTTTGGAAGTTGTAAAAACGATATGCACTGTCCTCGAACTTTCTGAACAATTTGCTTAATTGAATGGTTCGAATATTGCGCCGCTCTCAACGCGGAGAGAATTTTTTGTCCCCAAAGCAATAAGGAAATTCTAACTGCATATGGAGACCGTATTCATTTACCCATGAAGAAATATGAGAGAAAAACTATCCTCATTCACTCATGCCTACATAGAGGACCCATATTTTTGCAAATGACATTTATGAAAAAACCATTTTGCTTGAAGTGTGTGTAAAGCGCCTCTGTCATACAACTAGTCTACGCGGAATTTTTCATATTTACACTCGGCAGCAAGAAACTGTGACCTTGGCAGCCTACAGCTAAAGTAAATTCTATGAATTTATGCGAAATCAACAGCAGCTAGCGATTTTTCCCCCGCAACCTCTAAGCTCAGCCCAATGCCTCGTCTCTCACGCAAAACGTATCTCTCAGCAGCCGTCATTGTGTAAGCTCATCTCGTCCCACGCGTATCTAAAACTAGCTGGCCATCATGAGCAGGAGTAAGTCACTTTTCCTTTTTCATTTTTGCATTTACAAATTGTAATTTTCCCTCCTTGGCATCGATACCTTCGGAATCCTTTTTGGCGACTCCTGTAATTGGTCTGTAAGTGCAAGACTCATATTCGAAAGAATCAAATCTGTTCTGAACTTGCAATTCATCTCTGTAACCTATATTGCGTAGTTTGCTTTCTAAGTCATTGCGATAGTTTGAGACTAGAATTTGAACGATTATTTCTTGCTTTCTCAAAATTTCAAATAAAGAAGATTTCAAACAATAGCACATAAACGTCTTTACGCTACCTAATTCTCAACCAGGGCTCTGCACGAGGTCCAAAATGCGAAAAACGAAGTCCCCCTTGACTTTTGCGAATTTTTACGAAGTACCCTTTGATCCTAGACCAAAATCCTCAAAAAATCTTCTAAAAAAACGAAACATCGATTAAAAAAACGTCGCAAATTTTATGTCTTTTCGGCCACAAAAACGAAACCCCTTTTCCTTTTTATCCCAAAAGATATCCAGCTTGCTTATAAGCCGCCTGTGCCGAGCCCTGTTCCCAACTTTGGCTTTGGACTTTATGGGCCTTAGCTTAGTTAGTACTGTCAATGATAGAATAAACTTTATACACTCAGATCAACAGTTATAAGATTTCAATGAGGATTTGGCTCTCTGTTGGCGTAGAGTGCACTCTCTGATCAGCTCCACATGTAGAGTTGGTCATTGGCATTTATAGGGTACAAAAAGATTCAAAAAAGTGCTCGGTTCTTAGAAATAAAATCAGAAAATTTGCTCTTCTCCAGGCGTCTGAGTGAGAACTGTTCTGCTCTTTGATGTAATATCAGGGTGTCCCATCGTTCTAACTTTCTGCCACAATAACTCGTATTCTCCTAGTTTGTTAAATTTCTGCGGTATCAATCGGTAGTGCAAACAAAAGCTCTACAAGATAGCCCCCAAAGTTTTGCTCACAGTATGTTGACAAAGAGTTTGAAGAAGGAATCTAAGATGATCTAAATTTCCAAAAATCTAAGAAAAAGTGGTAACTTCGTCCAAAACATTTTATAAACTTCCTATCTGCTCGGGCATGTACTATTCACATTGAGTAATTACCTGTAGTTTTGCCAAATTTGCATTGCTGGAAATGGAGAAAGAACGATTTTCACGTTTTTGTCAAAGCTGCACTGGGCTACTACAAAGGTGTCTCTATAGGGTGAGCCTTTGGGATTTAAACTACTAATTTTTGGCTTTTTACATGCAATACTTCTCAAGAAATATCAAATTCAGAAATAAAATAAACCACAAAAAACGTATTTTGGTGTATGTATGTTTTTAGAGTTCTACTACGGAAAAAATAGGCGAATTACAGATAAATATCAGATGAAGAATTACATGCCTGAGCAAATAGTAGGAAGTCCGTAGGAAATTCTTGAACAGAGGCATGATTTTTTTTCTCGACTTATCAAGCTTTAGATCTAGATCTAAAGCTTAGAGATTTAGATCTATTTAGATTTTGGCTTCGAACCTAAGTAGAACGATGTTTAGGTGCTATCTTGTAGAGCCTGCTTTGGTCTGTCGAATGTAACCGCAAAGCCATCTAACAATAAGAAACACGAAGAATATGAGTTATTGCGGGAAAAAGTGAAAACAGTTAATGATTATGGAACACTCTAATATGATTTATAGAAGCCATTACGTCAAATATCAGTGTTCCATAATATGTTATGTCATAATCTAGTTTAAGATCACTCAATCTTGCCATTTCCTCATTTTTGATGTATTGCAGTCATATAAACTCGCTTATTTATACTCCATACTTCGAGTTCTCTCAAATGATGCCATCAAAGTGCAACCTTTTAAATATACTAGGAAGTGATTGTATATTGATTGCTATAAAAATGTAACTGCTAAGTATCTTATTTGGGGCTGTACTGAATTGGGTAGTGACTTAGTGGCAGCCGTCTATCAAAATTGTGATGAATTGTCATAATTTCCTAATTTTTATTTCTCTAAACTTTCGTCATTCATCGTTTTGTAAACAGTCGTAGTGGTCCGGATGAAAACTACTATAAAGATATTTAGGATTGCTAGAAAAACCTTTAGCAGTGTCGTGTTATCCATAAAGGAGAAGGAATCATGTCCAGTAAAGTATTTGGGATTTTTTAGATTTTATTCTATCTCTTCTAGCTTCTCACAAAACAGAAAATGCTATTTAGGGCCAGTTCAATCATCACCCATGTCGGCCGCAAGGTTCGCAAAGGACGATGTGGACAATGAGACAAAGTGGTGGCAGGAGTACCCAAGAAGGTGGATTTTACTTCCTAGACTATATCTCTGGTGCTCTTGTGAGGCTCAAAGCATTCCACAATGTAGTTTTGCGCTCGGTGGATCGGGAACTCAGTGCACTGCGATTTTGAACTCTGATCGGACCTGTGTTCTGTTAAAATGTGTAGCTGTCATCCTTTTTTCTTCTATGAAAGCTATGCATCAAGCTTTTGACTAATCAGTAAGGAGACTTGCCCGTAGTATACCCTGCGGTTTTAAAACACATACAGTTCAGTATTGGAGTCAGATCAAGAACTCTTAACTCTAGAAACTACATCTTTGTGTATACCTTAAATTCTCTGCTCACCATCAATGTGAACCGTTACGACATCTCTGGAACATTACAAGATGGGAAACGGTCAAAAAGCACGCTTTCTCCAAAGCTCACCAACTCAACAGCCCAGTTTAGTGCTATGCAAGCCATTCAAGGACAATCAGCAAAGTTTTCCAGCTTACTAGCAAGAGCACTTGCTAAGTTTAACGGCATTTAGTGGAAAACTGATTGAGATATTCACAAAGTGGTCATTGGTCGCATTTCCACGGGTTCTTGAGCTCCAACACTTATGTTTTGAATCTGTTTCAAGATGACAAGGTTGAAAAGCCTAGCAATGGCCTCATTATTTTCCTCAGTAATTCGAAAGCTTCTACAAGGTCATAAAACAATGAAGATGCCTGTTCGGTGTCCATCTGGCAATAAGAATCGCGTCTCTTGGCTGTGGAATCTGTAGTTCTGATACCCTTACAAGGGTTCACACAAGATCGCATAAGAGTTTGACAATATCAGCAAATAAAAAAAGAAGCATCCATCAGTCTCGCCCTGTAAGGAAAACCAAGTTTTTCTTGTATAAGCTATGACAGCATACGATGACATTTTCACGACTCTAATTTTGCCAATTAATTTTTTGTTTCATTAGTAATCCTAAATGCATTTCACCGAATGCTTCCGTCGACTCACTCTTGTTAATGTGTAAGTTGGCACGTTACTTGAGTTCTGTCAACTTCATGACTTCCTCAAGAATACCCACTTCTCCCCAAATTTCTGCCACTCACTCAAAATCATACACCTTTCTGGTTTGTGCTTTTGCATTTAACCGTCTCATTTTCTGAAGCCCGTCGCTGGGAGGAGACATTTTACCCATTTTACATCCACTCAATCTAACATTTATCTTGGTAGCAATCTTGTGTCAACTCAAGTGCATCTCGGGTTTTTCGCTACTTTGCTCCACAATTCATAGGAACTCATTCGAATGTAAACAGCTGGCTTCGTTGACATTGTGTGCCGTCGATAGTGATAGGAGAAGCACCCAACAGGCGGCGGCGCTTAGATTTTTTCGTATGTCGTCGTAGTGCACTCGTCGGCATGCTGAGTCATCGCCTTCGAGGGATTCGATTCCCAAGAAATCTACTGGGTTTTTTGTTCTTTTTGACACTGTACAAGCTGTTAAAAACTCGCTAGTCATCGGCACGAGCGTGCTCGAAGTTTTTGATGGAACTTGGCATTTGAACGTCAACTTGTATAGAGGGAGGTTGCAAGATTTATAGCCCTTCATCGCACGCAAAGGGAGGCCGTAGCGTCCTGTTAAGATAGTCCGCGCATGGGAGAGACAGCAGACAGGGAGGGGAATGAAAGAGAGCTCAATCAGCGAGACGCCGACAAGTCCGTAATGACGCCCTGTCTTTGCGTGCAATAAATGTGAGGAGTGCCGGGTCGAGTGGAGGAATTTCTCTTCCTCTTCTGCAAAACTTGTTTCGAATTTTTGAAAAGCTTTCTATATGAGCTTTTGCGCAAATGACTTTTTACTTCTCAATACATGGATTATTTTGTCGCAGTTTGTAAGAAATTTGCAACTGTAAACTTATTTTTTCGAAAACGTAAGCGCGACTAACTCCACTTCCATCCACTTGAAAGCTTTGTCTTCACAAATGAAAACCCGGGAACACGGGTGCTATGTAGGTATCCCTAACGCATGAACTGGGGTTTTGTAAGTTTTCAAAATGACTGCGGGAGGCGAAGCGAATATCCAGTCCGACCCCTACAAGGCCCTCTTAGGCCCGTATGCACTAACATTTCTGCGGCGAGGGGAGCGGCGTCCCCCGTTATGAAGGGACCGCGTGCGGACGCCGCTGCGGCTTTTCATCATTGGGGACGCCGCTCCCCTCGCCGCAGGGATGTTAGTGCATGCGGCCCTTATCCTCTTACAGTCCCCTTATTAGGCTAACTGATAAAAATTTGCCGTTTTTGGAGGGTGAAAAGGTTTGTTCTGCCTAGGACGAATCGAACCTTGATAACATTTGTCATAGCGAAACCTCATACCATCATGCCACTCGACTTTTTATCAAACATGAGGAAATTACAGCAACTATGTCGAAAGAGCCCGGGCCCAGAACATGTACGACAATTATATCACAAATATATGGATGAAGCCAAAACAGCTGGCCCGCAGTGCTAGCTTCACCAATTTGACTTATGTAAAGGTTAGCTTTTTGCCAATTTTTTAAGTTCGCAGATCCTCTAAGTGCAATGACTGATTGTTTGCATTTATTTCAGGATGCCGTTCACGACTATCCCATCAAGAAATCCGATTCTGTTTCGTCTCTTGCGCCATCACTTGCCCTACCACAATATTGCAGGTAAGCTGACGTTTATTAGAACATAAAACTCAAGAACTTTTCAATATTTGGAATTTTTTTCGAAAGGTTCTATGATTTCTATGCCGATATTTATGAACAACTTCGAGATCTGATACACAAATAGAATTTTGAGCAGGTTTTGTGTACTTGGAAAAACTCATCGAAGGCTCTCGAGAAAAGAGCGGAGTCGGGATTTAAAAAGAATTTCGAGTAACTTTAAGAACTAGAACTAGAACTTTAAGAGTTTCTCAATAGCTTTTTCAATCTCGTATGCTGCTGTAAGCTGCATTCACCTTGATCAAAAAATGGAAAGGAAAGAAAAGAAGTCAAAATTGCTTTTGCTATTTTTACTCTGAATTGACAATGGGGTCAAAAAAGAAAGCTTCGCATAAAACTTTGCGTACTCTGTTGCAACTAAAAGCACTTAAGATCGTCAAGAGTCCAGGACAAGTGCTTTGGAAATTCTCGTAAGACGCTGATCAAAATAAATCGTTACACACCTTTAGGCACACTAAATTTTTCAAAAAAAAAACACTTGTTCAAGCTTAACCCAAGAATACGGAATGTCATCAAGGATTCACGAGTGTGCCGACCTAGTGTGCGGATTTTCCGACTACTTCTTAGAGTTCTTTTGGAATTCTCCGAAAAGTTGAAATCTCAGAGCTGGAGAAAGTCGTTGAAGTTCTGCATTAATCAATGATTTCATGCACACATTGAGCGGTTCTTTTCGTTTTCTTTTGTAAAAAGTAGAATAACGCTGATACGTGCCATTCACTTTCAAAACGTGAAAGGTGGAAGGGGGAAGATTGAAAAAGTTTTTCTCATGTATCAGTTTTCTCAGTTTCTGGTGCATCATTCGATTAAGAAATCGTATATCCTTTATCTGCAAAAATTTAGGAATTTATCCTGGAAATTCTACTAGCGTTTGAGTTCGTAAATGAATGGAGTTAACAAACTTCACTTCCGCGCAGTACTGGTGCTGTCGCTTATGCTATGGCATATTAATAAAGGACCAGTAGTCCGGGAGATGGATTGTAGATGTGGTATTCGTTGTTCATCCCCTGATAATTTTCTAGCATGAAAGCGCAAAGTTCGCAAAGTTTGTAATAATAAAATTCCCTCGGTCTCTTTTCATATCACCTTTTTATTCAATATCGAAGTTTCCATAATAGATTGCCCATTTCCAAAGATTATTATTATAAATGTCTTTAGTAGTATCAAAAGACACTGTAGGTTTTTGAGATCAACAAAGTAGTATGCCAAGAACAAGGAGAACAAGGAGACCTAACGTCAAAAATCATGCTTTTAATTTTAAGAGAAGCTCAACGTATAGTGCATACCGTGCCGGTGTACAAGCCTCATACGGACAACTGGTACAATGGCAGCTATTCCGCAGCCAGATTCAGGGTAGGTGTTGCAATCCTTCTTCATGAACCTCAATCAGAAAATAAGATTATTTTAGGATACACACAATGAAATAAGCCGTCCCTACAAACCTGCTGTGCATTACGTGACTCCAGCATCATCGCATGTGCCATATTATACTTTCCAGACAAAGAGGATCTTTTTCAATGAGGTACAAGAGCTTAAGAGAGTTCCGAATTTGCGTCATTTGCTATTTTTTTCGCAATTTTATTAATTGATTGTTTCAATCAATAGCACTAATTATTACCTTCAGAAACTGAGAAACAATCAACCGTACCTAGCTGAATCGCAGAAGTATTTGGATCGCTATGTTGGAGCAAGACTTAAGGTTCATTTCATTTCATTTTTTTTGAAAATTCACGAGGTGATTTTTGATTGTTGCAGGCTGATGACTTTGCTAATCGCTTCGCATATTCCGCGTATGAATGGAGAAAGCCACAGGATCACGCGTTCAACAGACACTTCATGTATGATCAAGGAGTGAGTTTTATCCATCTCTTGCCGTATACATCAGGGGCTCTTCACAGTTGAACATTTGCCCTTTCGCCATGAATAGAGGAATATGAATTGATGTAGTTTTGAGCCGTATTGGTGGTTGAAAGAAAAAACAGCTTTTTCGAATATCACATTCAAGAAGCAGAAAATAGAGAAAGGTGTGAAAGAAATACATAGATTAGAAGCTTTTCCGTTGACCAAAACAAACTGCTTTTTGGAGATACAGTAAGCTTCAGGGACCTGCTTTTATAAGTGTTGGTTCGACTTGAAGAAGAGCTTAGATAGTAGTAGTTTCTTAGCGCAGTCTATCGCCATTGTTTAGACGCATACAGCAGTGGCGGGAAAAAAATTTGGTGGGGGGGGGGGGAATAATTATCGCGTGAAAGCGCACGGGGTCAGCGACGCGCTCCGGAATTTTTTTGAAATGATTCTCAGAATCTGTGCAGAACCATTAGCATGAGATTGTGGAAAAAGAGGAGAGAGTTCCATGCGCTAGGCTTCCTGAAACAGTTCAAAATTGATTTAATTATTTACGAGCAAAAAAGATGCTGACCAGTTTACTAATTGGTGTAAGGAACTTTCAAAATTCTTGCAACCCTTCTCGGCGAACGGGACTCCCCCCCCCTCTTGCTTCCCATCGGTCTGCCAATGGCATACAGTAATCTATAATATTATTATTTCGATCCCACCGTAATAATTTGGATTGCAGGTCACAGCGTTTACACCTACCGGAAATCCTGTATCCTTCTATGACAAGCAGGCATTGCGAAGATTGTACAAGTTGACCGGACGATTCTACTTCTAATCCTCTTCCTACTTCTTTCAGTACTTTCTCACCCCTAGACTTTCTTTCTAATTCCTTTACTTGCTCATGAATGGGATGCTGCCGCTAGTATCTGTATCGGTCCCAAATGTTTTGTACGTTATCAAAGATTATTGTTTATATTTGTCAGTGGTAAGATATCTGGAGAAAGCTCGAAGAATGGAAGAGGTTAATACATGCACTTTACTATCAAATGAGCGAAATTTTAATAGTGGTCAAGAATGACTACATTCTGTCGAAATTCTCAATTTGCCTTTCACTGAAACTATGAGAATGGTGTTGGAAGTAAATAAAACTTTACTCCTTATTGAAGCGATTGTCACGGTACGGATGGATGCTAATCAAAGGGAGCAGTTGAAAAGAGAAATAGATGGAAAGCTCTCCTTGACAGGAAATCCATTTTGAGACATCGGTGGCTACTGATAACTCTGGGAAGTAGTAACGGAATTGCTGATAAGAAGATATCGTTTCGAGACCGTTTTGCCGGCCCCCGAGCAAAGACGGAAGACCATTCATCGACTTTTCTCATCGTCTAAATCTTTCTAAGCTTTTATAAGCAGCTTATAGTGTAATCTGCCTCAACATTTTTGTTTTATGATATCACAAAATAGCATTTATCTGTCAGCTTGATCGCTGCCATTGATGAAGAAGTACTTACTCGTATAAAATCATTTTTTCCTTCCCTTCGCGTATTCCTTGGGGCACTGGCAACTCGGAAAGTCGTGCGAGTAATGACTTGTTCTCACACCTCCCAGTTTTCATCGAGGTTTCCCATGTCCGTATTCTATTCCAATTCTGACTTCACGCGGGTCTTCGAAAGGCATGAAGTTCAGTCAGATTACTTTGTCGTCCAATAAGTTAGTTCCTACTTGCGCAAATTCTCCGTTTATATCGTTTCATTGAAGATCGTAACCATTCGATGAAGTAAAGCAAGCTCTCATGTGTGACTCCAACGGGTGGCATAGATTCTGATCTGTGTAGAAGTTTAATCAAAATAATTTGCGTGGTTTTCGTGAAAATCGTATTTATGTATAGAGCATCTGAAAAATCGTGACGATGGCGCGACTGCGCGCGACACGCACGCACTTCCGGAAACGCATTTTTTTGGTCTTTACCTCCAGTCGAATGGTTTTTTTTGCTTACGTATGATAGCATTCAGGACTGGAGGTGACTGAGCTGAGCGTTGAGGTAATGTCTTCTTGTATGAGCGTTTTATGCTTCTATGGGGATAAAGTCCGCAGTCAAATTCGTCGTCACGATTTTATAAATGATCTATACAGTCATGCAAACCTCCCAAATACGAGGGGGGGGGGGAAGGAGGAGAAATTTTTCAGCTGGTGCAGTGCCAATTTCTACTTGATTGCTGCCAAAAAGTCAGGATGCCACTCACCCCAATTGCACACACACAATTCCCGAGACACAGGGAGATAAGAGGCATATGTTTGTGTATAAGCTTGTTGTGTATTATGGCAAAATTCTAGTAGAAAATAGTAGAAAAGATTTAAAAGCTGAAATGCACCCCAGTAATGGGTTCTCCCATACTCCTTGTATACAGCACATGCTACATATGATTTTACATCACTATATTGCAATAATAGATAACGTGACCGAAAATAATTTCTTTTTTTCTGAACAAGCGTTACATTGCGCGGACTAAAGATCCATGGAAGAAGTGATAGTGTTCGATGAAGTTCTTGCCATAGAAGTATATCCCTTAAGGGGTATGTTTATATGCCATTTAACTGAGCTCTAGATTACCAATTCTGCAACCCGTGTTCTTCGCTATTCTTTTGAATCTTTATACCGACTAAAAAGCCGTAACGCATAAACAGAGCAAGCCAAAGGATACAACGCTATATTTTGCTTCTTTTCAAAACTCACCATGATGTCTGATAGAATTTTTATGGGCCCAAGTGGCTCGCCGGTTGATGTTCTATGAGGTTTGAACCAACTATAAAATTTGATAGCATCAGAAAAACAATTTCAAAAACTTCGAAAAGCAATTTATGGAAGGGAAGGAATTTGTTTGATATCCTGAAGGGGTTGCTATATCCATCGGTTACTTACACTTCTTCGGAGGAACAGTGCAACAATTCAAAAAAAAACAGCAAGACTTGACTATGGCAAATCCATGGGTCGTAGTTTTCCGTAAATTTGTGATTGCAATATTAATTGCATTTGAAAGGGCATGAAAAAGGCGTCGAATGCTTCCAATCGTAAAGCTTTGTTTTGGGAATGTGGCGCCTGTTCGAAATCAGCGATAACTTTTTCGGGATGACCCAATACAGGGTGAAAAATATGCCTACTGTTTGATTGTTGATAACCTTTTGTCATGTCAATCTTCCGGGAAGGTTTAGGTACCATTTTGTAAAGCTGGCTTCGACTCATATTTACTATGGAGCAAAATACCGATTCCTCTTAATTACTGCACAATTACGGCATGAACTCGCAACAAAAAGCGTTACTGTGAGATAGACCGTTGAAAAAACTTTCAAAAAAATTTGGAAAATTGTGTAACAAGGTTTTCATGCATGCCATCTTCACTGCATAACTTTTCGCAGAGTTTTCAAAATGCGTAATCAAAATTTTGGCGAATATCAGAAATCGGTCGTTACGTTGTATTTGGCATAAAATATGAGAAAAGCATTGCGGTGAAGTGCGAGTTTCATACTTGGAATAGGGACTCCGATCACCTTAGGTAGGAGTTTTCAGCTTCTTTAGTCCTTAATTAGGGGTAAAAGATGATCTCAATGACGTAAGACCCTTTTTAAAGTTCGTACCGTAATCTTACAATAAAGAAGAGGGAACGGTATTACAATCAGTACTGTAAAAGTTCAACCCAGCCCTACCAAATGGTACCTGAAGCTTCTCGAAAGATTTTGTGACAGAAGAGTTATTGACAATCAAACACTAGATATTTTTTTGGGGCACCCTGTACATCCCATCAATTGGAATGGAAAGAAAGGAAGGTGGCTTTTTTCGAGATTTTTCAGCAAAATTTCTCAGGAACTAAAGCATTTACAAGGAAGAAATTATATGCCCAAGTTCCGAAGGCTTGTAGTATATGACTACATATATGGGAGGAGCTCAGTACTATGTACTAGGAGAGGAGTTTGCCATTTTTTGTTTCTGAATTTTTTCTTGGTTTCTAAACAGAAAAAAACCATACCGAGGGTACCTATGGACAAGTGCATGTGTCTATTAAATGTAGGAGTAAGTGGAAGGAAGTTGTTGGGCAAAACTCATTTTTGGCATTATTAATTTCTCCTATGTTTTGGCACGCGACTTGCGAAATTACACACCATTTTCAAAGGTTATCTTGTAGAAGCTTGCTTTCGGGCAACTCAATATTTGGTTACTCGTAACCACCTTTCTTTTCCATTCGTCTCCTTTCTTTCACCACCTGTAAAGGATTATGCATCACTACTATGTTGTGTATTTTAGGTAATGGCGTGCGGACCAAAATGCATGGCCTTCCTCATTTTCATGAGCATATGGGGCATTATTTTCTTGGTTAGTTTCTCATAGTAAAGCTTATTATCTTTCATTTTGAAATCATTACGTGTTCTAGTCAATCTTGGGTGGCCTCTACTATAATCAATCAGTTGGACTGTTTGAAAACCTACCCGATGAAGACCTGAAGGCTTGTAACGGTAATAAAATGGATTGGGAATGCCGTAAGAAACATTTAGTAGAGTAAGTGATGCTTGGCTTTTTCATACATTCCACACAACAAACTATTTGATACAAGTAGACATGATGGAGTTCCGCATGAGATCATTGTTTATAGCATGAAAATGAAGTGAGCGATCCAAGGAGAATTTCTGCGGACTTATACCAGTCATTTTTCCTAGCGCAACCCAGCAAAGCCGCTATGAAGGTATATTATAGAATGCGCTAGGAGTTGATTAATCAGCTCAAGAGTACTTGCTCTGCGAAGGTCACTGTTTTCTCTTTACTTACTTACAGGGGAAGGATACTTGGATGCCGTAGCCATTCACAATGATTTGTACACCAAAAAATGCGCTTTTGAATGCTGGTTCGTAGACTGTCTTTTATATCTGCGAAACGATAATCTGAATGGAGTTATGATTTTTTTTCATTAAGAAAATTGCGTTCCTGCGGAGGGTCAAAATCATCAATAAAAAAATTTTCTCTTCCAAATGCTGAGTATGATCCAGATAGTCTGAATAAATATTACTACGTCTAAAATTTTCTTCAGTAGCATTAAACGGTAGGCTAGATCAAATCTGGTGATTTTTACTATCCAAAAGTAGGTTAAATTCTCAAGGAAAAAAGTTCATAACATTCTTCAAAAGATCGTTTCGCAGATTTCGAGCACAGATTCAGAATCTGCATTCGAAGGCGCATTTTTTGGTATACAAATCATTAGGAATGGCCGCGGCATCCAACTATCCTTCCCTTGTTAGATATTTAGATGGCCCGTCCTCACGTGACGTGCGGGAACCAGTACAGAAGTCGCCATTGATCCCTGTCCCTCGCTTCGGACATCCACGATCTTCTTGGTCGTCGTCGGTGGCTGCGTCCACGAGTTCCAGGGGCGAGAATCGTATCCAGCTGATTTCTCAGCTGGTCCATCCGTTCCACGAACACGTCTGCCCATCTCGTCGGTGGTCTTCCTCGAGGACGTTTGGCTTCGCGAGGAATCCACTCAGATGTTCTTAATGTCCATCTATCGTCCGTTCTTCTCATTATGTGACCGGCCCATCGGTGTTTCGCTTTCGCAACGTATTCCGCTGGGTCACGAAGACGGGACATTCTTCCCATATCCGTGCTGCGAAGTCCGACTAGATGTTGCTTGTGTCGGGTCATCTTCAGAAGACTGCGCTCGAGCGCTCTGTGGGTGGTCCTTAAAGCTTTCGACGTGGCTACGGTGTCGGCCCAAGTCTCAGCTGCGTAGCAGAGCGCTGGGAGAACGGTTGAGTCGAACAGGTGGGCACGAAGCTCCGGGTCCGTCAATTGGTCGGTGGCTTCCTTCAGAGGCCCGAAGGCGGCCCAGGCTGCTCTTCTTCTCCTGTTTTAAGTTCTTCCCTCAAGTCGTTCTCCATGTTCATCGAACGTCCGAGATACACGTAAGAAGACGTCTCCATGATAGGGGTGCCTTCCAATTCCATTTCTGCATCTTCGCAAAGGGCGTTCTTCATGAACTGAGTCTTCTTCCGATTTATTCGCAGTCCGATCTTCTTCCCTACTTCGTTTAGTTCCTTCAGCATCGCCTCTACTTCAGTGATACTGCTCGAGAAAAGGACGATGTCATCCGCAAAACGAAGGTTGGATAGGAATCTCCCATCAACTCGTATGCCTCTCTCTTCCCAGTCTAGTGACTTCATCACCCACTGCAAGGCCGCGGTGAACAGCTTCGGCGAAATAGTGTCGCCTTGTCGAACCCCCTTCCCAATTGGAATGGTTAGGGGGCGATGGAATAGCTGCATCGTTGTTGTACAGTCCTTGTGGCAGTCGGCTAGTGTCCTCACGTAAGCTGGTTCCACTCCTTGATCGACTAGCGCAGACAGGATGGCGTTGGTTTCGACGCTGTCAAAGGCTTTCTCGTAGTCGACGAAGGTTAGGACGAGAGGCAGTCGGTACTCCCGGCAGACTTCTATGACTCTCGAAACCGTCTGGATGTGGTCCATGCAGCTGAATCCTTTGCGAAATCCAGCTTGTTCTTGGGGTTGGGCTTCATCCAGTGTTCTAGATATGCGTGCGAGGATAATCTTCGTGAAGAGCTTGTACAGCACATTCAGCAAGCATATTGGACGGTAATTTCGAAGATCTTCCCGTTCACCCTTCTTAAAAAGAAGGACGGTTCTTGACGTTCTCCACTGGTCGGGAATCCTCTCCTTCTGAAGATAAGATGTCAGGTGCGACGCGAGAATCTCGTGTAGACGTTGTCCTCCGGCTCGCAGAAATTCGACGGAAAGATGGTCTGGTCCTGGAGCCGTGGATGTCTTCATGGTCTGAATCGCCGTGCGCACTTCAGCAGGTAAAATTCGTGGTGGTACTTCTCCAGTGGGAACAACGGGCATCGGCACGGGTGTTGATGAGCGGAAGAGGTTGGGAAGTTCTTCGCGATAGATTCCATCTTGTATCGGGAAGAAGTCGGAGTCCCGTCTTCGTTCAATAGTGCAGCCAGCGGTACGTGATATTCACAGAGGTCCCTTCGGCATTTCTTAAGACTTCGTCTTTCTTCGGCTGCTTCCAGTATCTTGGCTTGCCTGTACCTCCTGAGATCCTCCTGCAAAGCTGTTCTGCAACTGGCGTTGGTTATCAGTCGCTCGAGATGGGTTGCATTCGGATCCTGCCTCAGAAATCTTCTTCTTTCGAGCAATTCCTTGGTGGTCTTCGAAATACGTTCCAAGTTCTTCTCAGAAGTCACTGAGGCACATTCTCCGCAGGCTCGCAATCCTTTCAGAAGCCGGTCGTAGTCGTGCGTTGGGTCCTCCTCGATGGGCCAGTCACATCTTGATATGGGCTCCTCCAGCCTGTTACCGTCGTAAACGACTTCTTCCTTCTCGCGGCACTGTGACAGACTTTCTTTCCCAGCCTTCGGCTGAGTCGTATCTTCGCTCGAAGGAGGCGGTGATCGGAGCCACTGCAGAAGGATGGAACTACTGAGACATCGAGCAAGCTCCACCTTCGGTTGGCGAGAATGTGGTCGATCTCCGCGTGAGTCGTTCCGTTGGGCGATTCCCATGTCCACCGGCGATGTTCTTTCTTTATGAAGATGGAATTTCCATGGAAAAGTCGTGCGGCGGAGAGAAGCCCAATAAGACGGTTGCCGTTTTCGTTCCGGAGCCCATATCCAAACTTCCCGATCCTACATTCCTTTTTAGTGGCATCCCGATTTTCGCATTGAAGTCGCCCACAACATACTTGTAGAAGGAGTTTCCGTTGCGGACGACCTCCTCCACGTCTTCGTAGAAAGCATCTAGTTCCGAGTCGTCAGCTGCTGATGTTGGAGAGTAGCAGTTGATGATGCTGATGGTCTTCTGACGTGGAGGGCGTAGTCGTAGGATGGCTAGTGGGGGTGATCGGATCTCGTGCGAATCGACAAGATGGACGATAGATGGGTGGACGACAAAGCCAACACCTCCCACGTTTCGTGATGGAACCTTCCCACCACGAATGATGAGTGTTCCATCATTCATCTGTCGCACGTCCTTCTTCCTGGACTTCGTTTCCTGCAGAGCGATGATGTGGTACTTGATGTGATCTGCAGCGTCGAGAAGAGCGTGGAGGTCGGCGTTTGTGGAGACTGTCCTGGCGTTGTAGGTGCAGAGCATGAGGCAGTCTCCGTGGCGTGTCGTCCGGGCAGACGTGTCGTTTTTGTCCAATCCAAAAGGCGCCCTGAGGACCCTGACATCAGTCTTGCTACCACCCGGCGCCGTAGGCGGGATCCGATGTACAGGGTTTCTTTCTATTCTTCTAACTGGTAGAGTAATGAAATTTTCCCCCTACAAGAGCAGACTTACTAGGCCAACTCTTGATTTCCACGGGACGATCGCTGGCCCCGGGCTTGGAGCGGGAAGAATTGCCTAGCGACCTGAAAACCAGACGGCGGCGGATCTGGCCTGGCCGGCTCTTAGCTAGGCATCCGGCCGAAACCGGAAACATCAAACTCCTTCCAGCTTTGGGAGGCCCTGCCAGAGTATACACTCGGCTGTGCATCGCAGTTCGACACCCAGTGTCACCCCCACGCCACGATGAGGCCGCCGACCATTGTGGGGGAAGTAAAGTAACAGAGGGCAAAAATGGTGAACATTGCCATCCATAATGAGATGTACTTAGATTCCTCTAAAGTGCGGATATCAAATCTGCTTCCTATAGCTGCTGACGGTTTTCAAAATAAATTATAAACATTGTTTGAACATCCATTGTTTCAAATAACAAAAATTAGAAAATCTATGAAGAGGCCTGCGCACCACATTACAGCTTCCAAAAAAGTTTCATTTTGCTCAACAGAATGTGCTACTGTTAAACAAGTACGAATGCAAAATACCAAAATGCTGGTGTTTTTGACTGAGCTATACCTTATAGTGTCCAAAAAAGTTCATGACTCCATAAAGATTGCACATGACAGTGTAAGTATATATAGTGCTGGACATAATTTATAAAGCAAAAGTTTTGTCGTTTCGTTGAGATAATGACGAGATATTTGCCGGAAATTACAACCACTCGTTTCTACCATGTCCAATTTGCACTAACTTTCAAAAATTTTTTATGAGATATTCGGAGGGTTTCTAATGACCACCAGATGGGGCAAACCTTTGCCAACAGAAGCAATATTTTTCTTTTTTTTAGCTGCTTTTCCAGGATTTTGCTAAGTAATTTTCTGAAAGTCTTGTGCTTTGGAAAAACCGCATAACCTTTCATTGTACCAAACACTGCAAAACCTACAGAACACTGAGGTTTCAACGCACGATTGTTACTACCGCTACCATTACAGAGTAAATGAGCGATTTTCGCTTCAAATTATGAAGATTTTGAAACATAGGTTACGTCACTGCGCACTCATGAAATTGAGAAATACTGCGGTTTTCCCCATAAATTTCGTAGAAATTCTAGAAGACAAGGCGTAGGGCTACAAAAAATTGCTTCTGTTTGCAAAAGGTTTGCCCTATCTGGTGGTTATTAACACCCCTTCGAAAGTCTCATACAAAAATTTTGAAAATTAGTGAAATTTGGACATGGTAAAAACGAGTCATTGTAATTTCCGGCAAATATCTCGTCATCTTCTCAACGAAACACAACGGTAGTTTAGCAGCTGGAAAGAGGAAGAAATTCTGCATCGGATACTTCTTGAAGTGTTTGTTTATCTTCATTCTAGCGTGCTTGCCAATGGATTGAAAAAACTGACAAAACTTTTGCACCAAGAGTGGCTTTATAATTATGTTCAGCACTGTATTAGGTTGGTCCGAAAGTTTTGTCCGACCAAAAAAATCACAACTTCTTCCTAGCACAATAATTTTGCATGACTAAAAATCTCTTGAAAAGAGCAATTCATGCACTTTCTAAATCTACCTTGGCTGCTATCCACTAAGCTCGTAATGCACAGATAAAATTGGAAAAAGGAAAAAAATTGCTTCAGGTTTGGAATTTTTAAGTAAGCCCGTTAAGAAATCCAAAACCGTACTATAAAATCCAAAACAGCCAGTATCCTAGCTTTTCTGATCCTCTCTTTCTATATGAGCAAACTTCGCGCTGATCGAGCTGTTCCCTTGGAGGTCATGTTTTTTGGAAAAAAAGGCCAAAAAATCAATTTTCTTGAGGAACTGATTTTTTGGCATTTTTTCTCGAAAATCATAATATTTCTAAGAAGAGCCCGATTAGCGCGAACTTTGCTCATATGGAAAGAGAGGATTAGAAAACCTAAGATACTGGTTGTTTTAGATTTTATGGCAAGGTTTTGGATTTTTTAACGGGCTTGTTTCCAAATTTATCTCTGCATTCCGAGTTTAGTAGATAGCAGCCAAGGTAGATTTAGAAAGTGCATGGTTGCTCTTTTCAACAGATTTTTAATCATGCAAAATTATTGTGATAGGAAGAAGTTATGATTTTTTGAAAATGGTGGGACAGAACTTTCGGACCAACCAAATATTTGGCATCAGCATTTTATCGATTACTGGTGTACAGCATGTCTCAATAATGTGGCAGTGCTTGATCGGTAATATCTCTCTTGCTCTGGTGTCATTTGCCGCTATCAAGGTATCATTCCATAGAACTGGCTTCAGTTTATATTTACGTTACAAACTGTGTTAAGGATCGCTTTTCATTATGCCTACTATGAGAACTTCCAATCTACAGCGTCATTGCGAAGGAGACCATTCAAATAAGGATTTCTAGAAAGATTGGAAAGTTCTATATCCGGATTTCCACTCACCACTTTCAAAACACAACTTTTTTTGCATTTCTAAAGCTTTTTCGGTGGGTAACCAAATTCTGTAGCAGCATTCAAAAACAGCCGTTTCGGTATTGGATAACTTATGAACGCAAGTTTCAATAAGGGTCAACCTCTGGTTAGCCCAGTGTAGAAGTTTTAGATTGATTTGTTTACTTTCTAAGGCAAAGTGGGATCCTCAATCCCAAAATCTTCTTCAAATCTTTTACCGATGAAGCCAGCTCTACAAAATGATACTAGAGACGCACATTGGCGAATAGAGTTATCAACTGTGCGCATTTTCTGGACACCTTATATAAATAGCAGAAACGGCCACGGTCACGAACCCTTTCTTCTGAAGCCCTTTGAAGCTCAAGACACACCTTACATGAGTTCGCTAAGGGTGAGCCTTGAATGGTCTTTAACAATGAAGCTCATAAAAGTATACAGGAGAAAGCATGGAACTTACTATTATGGAAGAATTAGTAAGATAATTGATAAGATACGTTCTGTACTCTTTAATTGCGTCCACTCATAATGGCTATACTGAACCATACCTATGGTAGTTCTATTTACTGTTAGCTGATTTGATTCCAGCCTTTACAATCAAAACGCCTACAATTGCTGGGCTGCTGCCCTAGGATACGTGGCTCTCGCTTTGGTGGCCGGACTCCGACTATGTTGCCTTCGATGTAGGAGCTAAAAATCAGTCGAGTGTACAGCTAAGAGAACGTCACAGGCTCATCTGGTTCCAATCACCCATTTTGTCACATGCAGATGTTTCATTTTTGTGATTCTTGAATGTTGCGTCGTTACTACATCTCGTGTCCTTTCGCATTTATGATGTACAAATTTTCAAATAAAAATAAATTTTATGAATGCGGTAACACTTTTTTCGAAATCTTATGTTGGTATCTCGCTAACCTTTCTTCTTAATGATTCTTTGAGCTTTTGAATTGAAGCGAAAATCTTCTAAAGAAACTTGATCATTAGTCTGAAGGATAAGATTGTTCAAATCGAAAAACTATGTAATCGCACACTGACAATTCCTTGCTATCTGCATTCCTTTACAATTACGTAACATTTTTTACCTCTCATTTTTGGTTTTTTCTTTCGCGTTTGTTGGAATAGAATAAATTTATCACTATTCATTTTAGGCATTATTATCATTGTATGAAAAGGTGAATAAAGTCCATGCTAAATCTATATGGCTTAAGCGAAAATATCAGAACAATGCCCAGCGTTTGATGAGAAAACATGCGAATTACACGATTTTCCGCAGGTCTTACTAAATATTCTCCAGTACTGGTGCACTGCAGAACTGTTATATAAAGAACAATATACTCTCTATTGATTGAAAGAGTAAACGCTAAAGGTCAAGTTGAGAAGAACATCCCGCTGCCGTGAAACTCAAATTTGTCGCACTTATATGTTCTCTGATAATGACGGTAAAGATATAACCAGGGTCAAGCGTGAGGTGTGGCATGCCACACCCATGGGTCGTATTGAGAGATCAGGGATTGACGTTGGCGATAACATGATATTTTGTTGACAATCTACCATTGATACGTACAGTAAGCATAATAAAAGAGCCCTAAAAGATAAAAACATCATTTTCGTAATCAGCATATTAAATAACCCCTGTGGGCCAAGTTTCACCGATTTTTGAAGTTCCCAAATATCAATCCACCCAAGTGAGATGGTCATTTTCGAACACGTTAACTTTGTTTTAAAGGTAAGTTGATACTTCTTTTGCATTTAATACAAAGAACTACTGACTCTTTTGCTCATATTAGGAATTCCACTTCAAATAGCCTCCAGACCATGGAATTAAGAGCAAGCCAAATTTCGTTCCCATGTTTCGTTTTCAATATCTCAGACTAGAGGAGACCAATCAGGCTAGATCACTTCTGTGAAGGTAACGAGATTAAGGTTGCTGCACAAATTTATTTTCGCCGCCTTCACTCGCGATTCATGTAGATACATAGTAGCGCAGATTTAGCATATTACCGTAACCCAAGCTTTTCTGAGGTTGTGCCACACCTCATTAACTTACATTCAAAGAGGATATTAAGGAACAAATTATACACAGTTAGATAGCCAGAATCTCGTAGATTTTGTAGAAGTAATTAGAGCTAAATTCGTCTTCATCCGTTCGCAATAGCTGCTGGAAGCACAACTACAGTAAGCTATAAATGGAACAAATGTGATTTTGGCTGGCTCCTACTAATTCCATAGTATGGTGGTTATCTAAAGCAGGATCCACGGTGTGAGCAAATAGGGAGTTGTGATTTGTTTTGAGTACAAAAAGAGGTTGCTAATTCACTTCTGAGATATAATTCCATGTGCTAAAAAATGACCACTTTTCTTGGGTGGTCCAATATCGGGAAACACTCATAATTCGCTAAAACTTGGCTCACAGGGGATATTTGACATGGTGATTACGAATATGTTACCTATGCTTGCTTTCCATGCCTATAGGCAAACGATAACGCTGGGGGAGGGGGGATATTGAGACAGAAGCTACGCGGGGGGGGGGGGGGAGGAAGGTCTTCGGCGTTTGTGTGCCGCGTCTCTTGCTCGACCCTGGATATAATAACGTATTGAGTGGAAGCAAAATTTTTTGAAGTATCATTTCTTCAAAAGTGTAAGGTTAGAGAGCGAATTGTTAATCCAAAATGTGCAACTTGTATTACTACCAAAATTGTCAATATCCATTGTTCAAAAGATAGCGAAAGCAAGATGTTTTTTTGGAAATTCCTATTCACAACATATTCATAAACTTGCGTGTAAATTGTGACCGCAGTATTAATTTACACGGTTATACGGTCACGCTTTTTGCAGTCTTTAGTTTGTAGAAAGCACCGATTAAGTTTCCATCAGAAGACTCTTTAGAGCGCTCAACACTCAAACAGAAATTATGCGCTCTGCACAGTTTCATCTCCAATCGTTAGAAATTGACTAGTTGCAGGCGCTGTAACCTATGCTGTAAAAATAGATGAAAAACTTCTTGCGAAAAAACCTTTCATCTTGATATGCTGTCATGAAAGATGTCCTTTCTTCGCATACAACGCGGTCATTGAAAACTTTCTTGCTAAAGTTGTAAACTAGTCTGCAGAGTGCAAAATACTTCTTAGCTGCAAATGACTTGCTAAAAATCGCGAAAATTCCCGAATATTTCTCTCCGAGACCGATCACATAGCCAAAGCTGTCGTGTAACATCGCTGTTGCTATCAATTATTTCTGCGCTGCATTTTTTTCTCAGTGCAATGGTGTAGTACGGGGTTCGCCAGCAGCAATTGCTACGTTTTTCGGCGGGTCACTTTTTCGTGATACAGCAGCTTCTGCTGCAAAATTGAACATCGCTCCAATCATATTTCTCACCTTGCCATTGCTATGGCCATTTTTCATTCTTCAAGGCTCTTTTTTAGCCCACTTTCTTTTCACCGTCAAACTTTCCCTCCTTAGGATTCGAAAAAGAATTTCTTTCAATGATGAGTAGTTCAAACTTTTACACACACAGTTTTTTCATACCATTCCACAAAGAAAACACGCGTTCTCTAGAATACATTCATGCATCGAAAACTGTTTTTTTCTTTTTACTTTTCACAGTTTCTGAGAGAGTGCATTCAAAGTGATAGTGGTCAATGTTTTAATTTTACTAGTAACTATTTTCTCGATGTGTAAATTGAAGGCCGAAACCTATTACTACTCGTCATGTACGGTGCCCACACCGGGGCCAAGCGCGGGGTGCGACGCTTCACACCGGGGGTCTATTGAGGGGGTCAGAGAGGAAAGGAGGTTGTAATCGAGGTGATACTCATAAGTAATAACATCTGCTCAGACAATCGCCGGGGGCAGGCGGGCACCGGAAAACCCGCGTTGCTGATATGCACTCGCTCACAAATTTCTGGAAAATGGTCAGCGAGTTTTTGCGAGACCGCCTGTTCAATCTTTCTTCGCTCTTATCTTTTGCAGATATATTGCTGAATCTCTGAGGAATCGAGAACTCAAGAAGCGGTGTCCCAAAAAGTCCTGATTGCTTTCTAGAAAATCCGCGAGCTGGGTGCGAGAAATCAGCCATCTATTTCTTCGGTGCCCGCCTACCCGCGGCGACTGTCTGAGTGGTTGACATCAGTAAGCTCCTTACGCAAAGTAGAAGCATACTGGTGTATTTGACCTATCTCTGTATAAGCAGAGTAAACATAATGAATACCATTTTCATAACAGCGTCTAAAATAACTCCTATGGACCGATTTTTAGCGAATTGTTTTCAATGGATCCTCAAAACAAAATGGTCATTCTAAACATGATGAACTTCTTCGTTTTGAAAGTGGTTTAACTCCTCTTTATGCATTGGATAGAAAACACTGCTCCTTTTGTGATCATGTAAGAAATTTCACTGCAGAGTGCCGTTCTATGGAATTGGGAGTAGGGGAACAAAGGCCGCCAGTTTGAGCTGCCTTTTGTGACCGAGTTGTCCTTTTGCAGTGTTGTTGCATGTCGTTGCGGATCAGTAGTCCGTGGAGGTGGCCCAAACCGGGAGACAGCCGAAATCTAAATTTCCCCATTTTCGCATTCAATGGATGCCTTCAGCAACTATCGCCAGGGCACGGCACGAGTCGGTTTCTAGGGTTTCTGAAAACAAAGTCTCAACTGACTTTCGGAAGTTTTACGAAGTCCCCTTTGACCTACCTGCTTAGGAAAAAAAGAAAACAAGAAACATTTACTAGTCTGAAAGAAAAGACGTAAGATAAGAGTGAAAATCTAAATTGGAGCTAAACACTACGCATGCACACGACTTTGGCATTAGAGCGCGGTATTTAACAAAGCGAGAAGAAATGAAGGCAAAAAAAAAACAAAGGAAAGACAATGATATGAAAATGTCTTCATGCTCAGGGATAGATTTTTGACCGGTGAATCCGTCCATGCTAAAAAGATCCGAAACTTATGTGAAGTGACAGAAATCTTGCTCTAGATGATCTCAGATCGTCTGGTAGCCGTCTGGAGACGATAATTTTGGAAAAGGTATTACTTCACATAAGTTTTCGTCTTTTCACACAATCTTTCCGCAAATAATTTTCTAAGTATACAGTTCAATTTTGGTGTCGTATGCTTCTATGTGCGCTGTAAACAAGCAATTTGTTTATTTTAGCCTTGCTTTCAAATCGCGAGCATTTTTCGCCATGTACGATAGAGCATGTCAATCGTGTGATAGTCTAAATGGCGCTTATTCTTGGTGCTCCGTTCCGACTCGTCAAAAACGATATCCCCTTTGCTGTTTGCTCCGAAAACAAAGTCCAGCCTGCTTCCAGACGATCTCTGTCGGGCCCTGACTATCGCTCACAAAGGAAGCATGATAAATCGAAGTGACCTTTTCATATATTATGTGATATTGGAGGAAAAACGCTGATTCCTAAATTGCGGAAAGTTTATGGACGTGGAGTTGTTAGCGTTCGATGGAGCCTAGGCTGTAATGAAGCAGTGATAATCAGAGCACTTTATTCATGAATGCTTTAAGATAAGAAAGATACATCAAACTTGATTGCTTTATTTGAGGGTTAGTAAGATTTTAGCAACTCATTTTATTTTAAATACACATTTGCTTTTTGCTCCAGTAAATGCTCATAACTCATCGTCTATAAGCGTTCCGTAAATAGAGAATTCATTTGAGAATCGTTTCAAAGCGTTTCATGCGCTTCAATACCGCATACATCCCATCTAACAAAGCCACTTCGAGTAGACATGCTTTCCTTGTCAGACTAAGGAAGACGAATTATCAAGTCATTGCGATGAGCAGGAGTGGGAAAAAAGCCATATTTTTTTCTAAGAGGAAGGATTTCGGATGAAGTTCCTATTGTGAAGAGAAGAACGTTCGATGGCCTTGACGATTTAACAAAGCTAGATTTTTGAATGGATTGAGCTAAGGGCAATATGCATTAACATCCTCGCCGTGGAGGAGATCGCAGCTCAGAAGAAAGCTTCATATCCTGAAGCTTCAGATATCTGGATTTGACGCTGTCTATCTATCCGTGATTAGTCCTACTATCCCTCACTGTAAACCTATTGAACAGGAGCAAGAAGTTGTACAAGCCGCGTTTTCCGGCTTTTTGTATGGTGTCCCCTGATGATCCTCGGCCGGTCGACCGTTTTTTCTTCGAAGCCAATTTTCTTTCTTCAAAATTGATGAAAACGAGCCAAAGTTTCACTGATTATCTAACCAAACAGTGATAAGCATGCCCTTTTCAAGAACAAATGCTGTTTTGAAGTCATGAGATTTGCGATAATTACAAATCGAAAGTTGGGATCTGTCAAGATCTCGACACTTGAAAAACTCATTTGTTTTTACCAGCAACATGCTTAGCATTGTTCGGTTAGATAGACAGCTCAGCTTTGGATTGCTTTCGTTAACTTCGAAGAACGAAAAATGACTCTGAAGAAAATACGTTCTACCGCGGGGATCATTACGGGATCATACGAAAAGATGGAAATGCGACTTGTACCTTCCTGCTCCTGTTAAATATGTTTACAGCGAAGGATAGTTGAAATACTTACGGATAGGTAGACAGCGTGAAATCCAGATTATGTATTAAGAATATAAGCTTCAGATAAAAACCTTCCTTCTAGCTGCGGTCCCCACTGCGGGGATGTTAATGCATGAAGCCCTAAGTTGGTTGCCGAGGCCTCAATTTCTTGAGATTGCGCCACACCCCATCAAAGGCAATGTCCAGACAAATCCGAAACTACTGGGATTTTGCGTGGAAAGTGATTTTGGGGCCCTAACTAGGGCACGGTCCAAGCGACAGCGCAAACGACTCACTAATGGCTGAGGTATACAGCTTTAAACTGGACCTCAGGATCGTATTATCGGACGGCTTGCATCGTGTATGCATGCTTTCGCGCGAGGACCCACGCGAAACTGATATGCAGTGGCATGAATCCATGCAAAAACGATCGTGGGATCCAGTTTGGAGGCGAATCTTTCAGCCGTTACACATCTGAGCTGCCGGTTACAGCGTTTTGGTTAGGGTTCAAACATACTGTCCGCGTGAGATTCCCATATGTCTAGATTGCCTTTAATTTTCATTTGAAAAGACTTCTAGCGATTAATTTATCTACACTTCAGTAACCCAAATCGTAGTTTTTGCAGCAGTAACAGCCCGATTTGTCTTCTTTAATCTGTGTAATAGTTGTTGAATGTAACTTGTGAAAGCAGAAAAGATATTCGGCTGATTCTCAATTCCAAAGTCTGACGGTTACCTGATACAGGCTTTCTTATGTGGGTAACTAAGTAATAGTGCCTCATATGGTTTACAGAAAAGTAGCTAATTCGTTTTAGGAATGAAGTTAATCATGTTGGAAATGAACTTTTCCTTGATAGGACAAATAGTCGAAGTCATCACATTCGCTAAACTTGGTCAGCTTACTTGACATTACAAATATGTCAGTGATTATGCTTGACAGAACCTTATGTTATGCCATTAGGTAAACGACAATGCTGACTACTCCACGACCCTCGCTCTGTTGATTTAGAACTTGATGGGGGGGGGGCAGAGGTCATAACTGGCGCCGTGTGCCCACACCTCTTGCTCGAGCCTGCTCTAACGGTGATATATTAGTCTTAGTTGATGCCATTCAAAAAGAAGTAACGGGACAAAAATACTGAATCTTGACCACTCAAACTAGAAAAATAATACGCAAAGAGAGTTCGTAGCTACTGCATTTCCTTTTCTTTGAAAAAGATGAGATCTACGAATGGGCGCTGCAATGTGCACAAAGAGAAAAGATGAGAGAAGTTATAATATGTAGGTTACGGCTATTGATGTGAGCAATCACATTCGAAGTGATGGTGTTGCTTTTCCTGGAAAAAATTCGCAACACATGCGTGCCCTGACCCATGCTTCAGATAAAAAAAATGTGCAGTACATTTATTTCTCTCGCAATAGGTTTATTCTCATCCGGCTTGAGAATCTTTAAATAATCAGAAAGGATAAGTGTCGAAGACACGTAATTGCTAACCTCCAACCAAATGAAGCTATATCATACAGAGCAAACTCGCGTTATTAATAATAAATTGAAAGGTTCGCCTTTTGTCAAACTGTACATCTCTTATCGAGCGCAAACATGAACAGCATATCTTTTAAAGAAAATTCTGAGGGGCCAGATAGCACATCTAAAATAAATCAGACTAGATTATCAAAAGGGAAGACTTTTGCATCAAGTTCACTCACTTCTACCACTTCTATTGAAACGAGACCGGAAGAAGCTATGGTGTTTACAAGTTGCAAGAACTTTTGAAGTATAATCAGTTCGCGGACTTCTCGAGTTGATTTGCTGAAAGTAGAAATAGAATCCACCAGCTTATATCTTAAATACCGAATATGGCGTTCGGAAGTTGTCATCTACCTCCCTCGGTAGTCACTTTGCAAAGCACCAATTATGCGCTAGGCCATGTATGATCTTCCTTTGATGAAGTCAGTTCATAATTCAAATAGATTTATATGCTCTCTGTAATGTTTTTTAAACTGTCATAACAAACACCCTAGTCCGCTTTTCGGGGCAAGTCTTTCCTGTTTATTTACTTATTTGACTGAGTAGACGCAACATAATTCATAAATGGCTTTAGAAATAATTACGTCAATGCTTTCTTCAGTGTTATTTTAATAACTACTCTATTGGTCACTTTTATGACGAGACCCTAAGCGTTTTGACATCGCTGAAAACTTATGTGAAGTTCTCATATTTGTTCCCATTGACATGAACGACCGGTGAGAGTCGTTTGTCAGAGCAGAAAACAAAGGCAGTCAGAGCATGTCGTTTGTCCTTCTGCTAGACGACAGTACTGCTCGATCATGCCTTGCTTTTCGATTCCGTGCATGTGCTCCATGTGGTTTGGTATTAGTGTTAGCTTTTCAAATCACTTTCTTATTGATTCTTACTGCATTGACTCGGTCGAAGTTTACATCGTTCATCTGCAATCTTCCACGCGTACACTCATCTTTCGCCTTTGAACTTGCTGCTGGAAAGTGCTAGTGTCTTGTTGATTCGATTTCACCATTCGTAGGGTGAGCTTTTGCAAAATCAGCTTCGAAGAGGGTTGCGTACTCCGTTTTCAGGATTTTTAAATGCAAGAGGAGTGTGTGGGCGGTGTCTGGGTTCCGGCCCCCATCGCCGCCCACATTCGTAAGGAGGAGCTCGTGCCATTTTCCTACACAAAACCCAACGTAAAGTTCCTCCTGAGTCGGGCGAGACAAAAATTACCAAAGGTTTGTCTTCTCATATAACTAAAAGCAGTACTGTAAGGCTCTTGAAAACCTACACATCACTAACCACAATCTCGGAGCAGCAAGTAAAGTCAATAGATAACCATTTGCTGTCGCTTCTCTTTTTCGACTTCAGCTGAGTTAACCAGTGCCAGAACGATAGCTCGCAGTGAACAAATCAACTGCCATGCAGTGACGTTGAAGAAGCTGAGTGTATTTTTTGCAGCAGTTTATTAATCTTGAGAGAGGCGCAAAGCAAATCAAAGAACAAGTATGTTGGTCTTAACATCAAAGCTATCTCAAAAAAAAAAAAACAACAACAGAACCATACTTCTGTTATGCACAGTCATGAAGTTTTATTGAATCACTAACTATATGTCTGCACCAATATTTTCTTGCACTGCATTCCCCCATTTAGCACTTTTTTGAGTTCTGTAACTTTCACGTAAGCGTAGACGCTACTCGATGGTTCAAGTCCGTTGAGGTCGATCATTTGCAGCTTCCTCCCATTCACATTCAACTCAATGATGTAAATTTCACTATTCACATGCTCTCGCATTATACTCGCTTTTAACAATAAATGCGCCTTCTGGCTCCCAGATTAGCGTAAATAGCATTTGACTTTTTTTTACTTTAACGTAATTGTTTTTGCGTCTGGGGCTGCTTTGCTGTTTTCCTTAGCACAGTTCATTGTTTATCATGTAAACAACAGACCGTTGTCTAGTTGACAATGAGGCTTAAAGTTGTGAGCATGCATCTTTAGATATATTCATGTACTACCTAGAGCTTCACTCGAATTGCATTTACCCCACCACTCAGCTCCAAACGTTGATCCCTGCGGGTTCAACTTACACACATATAACAGAGCCAAGGCGAGGGGTGTTCTTTTTTGGTTGGCGAATTTAAGTTTCATTAGACGTGACTGACAAATTATTCGTCGCTTGGTCCTTGTCTTCATAAAAACCTACCATTTCCTCCCACTTATACAATGCAACATTTCCCTGTCTGTGTCCTACTTCTATATGGCATTTTTTCTTCCACTATAGTATGCACGCCACTTGCCCTAGCACCACCTACAGACTTCTCCTCTTCCTCCTCAAAGTTTCACTAAGTTTCCTTACAAGGGAGTGTTGCGAAGTCGAATTGGCTGATCAACACGGAATGCATACAGTCAAAAAGGGCTTAAAACTTTTTCAAAACTGTCTTCATTATCTGCAGAACGCTTTGGAAAGAAGTTTTGAGCGTTTTTCAGCAAATTTGCATGGTTTTGATTCACCATAAGAGATGAAAATCGCTCAAATTGCTTCTTATGCTACCTGATAACACACAACAAGCAACAGCATCACAGTGAGCATGTCCAAAATGCTAAGGTGCCGATTATTCTGGCTATCTCAACCAAATATTAGGGTGAACGGTTAAAAATGGAACAGCTTGATTTACATTTTGAGGTTTTTTGTTCTCACAAACAACAAACAGGTTGCAACTCAAACGTCGCTTACATAACCGACCTTGCCTATTATTCTGGCCTCGCGTTGCCACTCCTCTCTCATAACCGTACGCGTGGCGCCGTGAAGAACTCAGACGGTGTTTTTGGAACAATTCTCAATCTTGCGCTGCTATACCATAACGTCGTAAAGCAAATAACATACCTTTTAAAAGAGCTCTTCATGCTCTTTCAAATGATATGTTGAATGCATGAGGTTTCTCTTCAATTTCAGGAAAAAAAGCGAAAAAAAACCTGAATAATAGCTATTTTTGGCGCAATAAAAAACCAAAAAATCATGTTTTGCCTTAAATTTTCTGAAAATAGATGAAATCTGAGGTAAGCTGCATATGCATGGATAGATCGTAAAAAGCTCTATCAGATGGTACCTAGAAAACGTGCGTTCACTTGCAAAGAATTGAATAACGCGTATCTTTGTTCTCGAAAATGCTAGTGGCCATATCTCCTGACTTTGAAAGTTGAGGCCACCAAGCCGTCGTGGGTTTAGTGACTGTCCCACCACCCACTCCAGCAGTGGTACTTTGGGTGGTCTCACATGTTTCACTGCGCATATACTGCTCAAACTTCATAATTTATCGAAGTGAGTAACTTTGCATTTCAACAAGTATTAAAATTCTTAATTATGTAAATGACCTTATATAGGTGTTATCTGAAAGAGATTGACATATTCTAACATCCATCAAAATTGGAAAGTCTAAACTTCTCTTTCTTGAGAAACCTCCAGTTATTTCGTAAGTGTCCCATTTTTTACCGTTCACCTTAATATAAGTCCATGACCTTGTTTACAGAAGAGTTCTGCAGGTATGGAAGGATCCAAAACTCCAAAGAAGATCCAAAACTAGCGCTTCAAGTTTTCGTAATGATAAGCTTCTTGTACTGATAAGTCACTTCGACTTCGCGACCGCCCCTTTGTTAGATCTTTTTAAAACACCATCGCTCTTTCTACTTGTTCTTCTTAACATCTGGGTTATCACTCAACTCGGAGAGGGTAAAAGAGCAAAAATTGGATCTTTTCCACTGATTACGCAGCTGCTTTATATGCCGAGCGCTTTTTATTCCATAGTCGCAGTCTAAAACCTATGCACTCATCTCTTCTCTACTTCTTTCCTCCTCCCTCACCACCAAGGGACCGCCAAGAGTCGGTTTCTAGGGTTTATAAAAAACTCCCCCCCCCCCGACTTTTAAAAATTTTACGAAGTTCCTTCTCACTCCTATCGAAAACTTATTGACTTAGGAGAAGATGAAAACAAAAATGAGTCACTAGTCTGGAAGGAAAAACTTGCAAAATGTGAACATTCAAAATGGTATCAAATATTACTCATGCACAAAAGTTTGGCTTGGAGCAGAATATCTTACAAAACGATTTATGAAGAAATTAAGTCAAAAAACAAAGGAAAGGCAACTTTATAAAAATGTGTTCATGCTCAGAGACAGATCCTTCACCGGGGAACCCGTCCATGATGCGAATGTCCAAGATTTATGTGAAGTTGTGAACTTACAAAAATATATCCAATCTCAAGCTGTATGATGGCCTTCCAGAAACGAACTGATTTTGGAGAAGGTACTACTTCAAATAAGTTTTCAGAACTTGTTTTGTTCACTTTTCCGTAAATAATACTGCGGGCATATAGTCCAATTTGGTGTCATATGCTTGTCTCTACGCTGTAAAAAAGCAAGTCGTTGATTTTGGCTTTGCTTTCAAATCACGCCCTTTTCGTAAGACACGATGGAGCACGTTCATTGTGAAATAGTCTGTCTTTGAAGCTTGTGTTTCACTGAGTGGTCGCTTTTGGCGATACAGAAAGTGTGCTGAATTGACTTGCACACGGTATATGCAATTTTCCTCCACATACTTCGCTAGCAATGCAAGTATGTACACAATTTTTACTCTGCCCAGTACCCAGCAAAAACGATATCCCCTTCGCTTTCTTTTCCAAAAACGATGTCCGGCCTACTGCCATTCGATCTCCCTGTCAACACTTCTTCCCCACACACCTCTCCCCCTACCACTATTTGCCGGTGCTCCTGAAAAGAGAGTCAGTAACAGAATCAAACAGAAACAAAGTCACGTAAGATCGCAGAAAAAAAGCAAGTGAGAATGAACATGAAAATGGGAGATTTCCATGTTGCTTAAGGTTCTGCGATTGGGGCAGACTGCACGTCAATGGATGGAAATTCTCTAAGGGATACAAAAAAGTTTGAGGAAAGAGTAAAGAATTTTTTAGCTCTTGTATGAAAACATTTGAAGTGCAGATACAGTTCTTGAAAAAACACAACTCCTACAAGATTCGGTCCAGCTCAGCTACTCCAGCTGAAGCAGTTTCAGTTAATTCAGATAAAAGCGGGGGCTTTATTTACAGAAGTTCAAACTTTTGACCACATTTTGACACTCACCTCTGCACATCAAATCTGGTGTCATTTTATTGCGTTTTTGGTTGTTCGCAAGTACAACATCGTGAGCATCTCATAGCGGTTCGTCTTGACTTGTCCAAAATGGTGAGGATGTCTGGATGGATAGATTCAGCATAGGATTCTGTCTTTATGCGTTTCTCCGCTTTTTGGGGGATCCGTCACGAAGTGCACAAAAACGATATGCCCTTTGCTTTCTTCCTTAGAAACCATATCCTTCTCGGAGCCATGCTGAGCCCGATGACAGATCTGCTTCAAATATTAAGTGAAAGCATGGCGTCAATTATATGTAACCATTTCCGCATATTTCAAATCATAGTCGTTTTCAGAGGAAAGCTTCTTAGAAATGAGCACAAACAAAAAAACTCGGAGGTATCAAAATATCCCGTTTGGATAAATCGAGCTGTTACACTACGTGTAGAACTGTCTAGATAGTAGCCGTTGACTATCAACAGCGAATATGCGAAACAGCCGCCGATAGTGTCGCTGACGATAATGGAGTCAACACAAAAACCAACATTCAGGCCGTTTTGTGCCACTGTTACTGAGGTGCATAGCCTAAAGGTTCAATTTTGACAAACAACGGTATCATACGGACTAGAGGATTGCCTATATGAAAGTAAGCGCCGCCAAGTGACTACGAAAAACAGCAATGAATTGGTCAGCGACCAGCAGAGTTTGTCAACGACAACAGGTAGTGAATGTAATATGAATCTACAGAGATAAAAGTTGTGGATTACAATATCCCACGATGCCTGCATCAGTTTCTGGGGAAATGACCTTCTTAAGCAATCTCCGTGTGGTGCCTTCAATTACTTAGCACTCAACTACGATGTGCCGGATTCTGAGTAGGGCTGGGCAAGGACAGATAGCAGAACGAGTTATACGCGCACATTTCAATGTCTAGCCTAATGACAATGTTGCCAAAGATAAATGATAGTGATGACCATAATTTCTCCAATTTCTTAGTCGTTGCCTGCTTTTCCTTTTGTCATAACTTTTTGACACAACAATACTGCAAGAAAAAACTAAAAAAGAATCAACATATGCAAAGCTTGAATTAAAGGCAGAGAATGCCTTTTAGCGCAGCCAGCCTGTCCAAATTGGAATTTGCAAGTGTCCGTCATATGATTACTGATTTAGGGATGACTCTGCAGGGTATCCATAAATCATGACAAGCGATTAAAGCTTTTGCACCAATCCAAACGTCGGAAAGACATACAAACAAAAACTAATGTAATTCTTCCAGCTATGCATCGATATCTTGAGTATGCAAATATTCACTTCCCTGATGTGGATTCTCGAGACTATCGTATTCTAGTTCGCTTGTCCTACAGCTCCATTGAGTGGCACATGACAGTACTTCCTAAACAGCAGAGTTTCCTCGAGGTGGTGCTGGTTTAATGCATCTGCAAGTTTTATTTGAAAGAAGAAAAATTGAACGCGGCCTGGAAACCGAAAATGCGAAAGAAATACCCGAAAACGAGAAATAAAAACATGTCAAAAGCGATTCGAGCGAGCGATAAAAGCTTGTTTTCGAGAATAACGCAAGCTGCTTATCCGCCTCGACAGCTAATTTGCTGTGTGATATTTCCGGAGGATCTGAACGCTTAGATTTCCCCAGCAGTTCTTGAGATTTGCGAAATTGTCGCGAAACACTTCGCAAACTTCCTAGAAATCCTGGGCCTCAACTTTTGTGACGTGACCACGAGCGGGTCGCCCTACTCCCCGCCTTATCCGGCAGCTCCAATTTTTTAGGAGTGTTCCGGAAAAACCCTAGAGAGAAAGGCTGCACGAAGCTACCATTTGTTGAAACAGGGCTGCTAGTAAGTGAGCTAAATATTTACGAGTTTGCTCTAATTGCATTTCAAGGGTTTTCGACTCCACTATTGATATTCAGCTTTTCTTCGAAATAGAAGATTTTCAGAGCTTCGCTTATTTCTATATGCTTGAGGTCAGTACATCTTGCCTACAATTTTTGCAGAAGAACACAATTTTTAGCGCATGAAGAATTCCAAATTTTCGTAGTTTGGGACTTCCGGGCCTACCACAAATAGGCTCAAAAAAAACAAACAATTCTAAATTTTTACTTTTTCTCCTCGCTGAACTCCTTTGTTGAAGTCTTTCTTATCCTTAAGTATACTACTAGCTTGCGTCTACAAAATGAACTGATTACCAGCCATACGAACAAAACTTGAAGGGAGTTGCAATCTCTCAAAGACGAGATTTTCAAAAGGAGAATTTTCTGTGTTTTGACGCATAGGTTTCTTCCAGTTTGCGATATCAGTATAAGCAGGTGCGCGAAGGGCTACGGAAGGTTTACTGCTTCTGATGGTATTAAATGCTTTCAAAAATATGAAGACTGGGCAAAGTTGTAGCTCTTCAACTCGAAACTTTGCAAAACCGACATTATTTTTGCATCAACCTAATAGTTCGAAACACCGGGCAATTTCAAAAGCAGCCAAATAAGTCATCGCGGAATACAGTCAAGATCAGAATAACCCCAGCAGAACAGTGGTCATGCCAAACACAAAATCAAAGGAGGTTGAAGATTGAACGGAAAATTGGTTCTTCAAACACTGCTTCTAATTCCTTGCTATCTGCTTAGAGACTAATCATTGAACTCAAGACTGATCCAGACTGAAAGTGAGGTTTATTGACATTACACATGTGAATTATATTTAGGCAATCGCTTTCAAACTTGGTGCACGACGACCGCAGAAGGCGGTCTTGGAATGTGGAAAATTTGACAAGTGGATAGGAAATATTCGAAGCTCTCTGGTAGAAGTGAGTCTAATATTTGACCTTGTCAACGTCGTCGTTCGTTTTATCCCAGCAATTTCCAAATTTTTTCAATCGTTTTTGTTTTTTGTATGTTCTTTCTTCTACAAAAGTAGTGTAAAATTTGTGATTAAACCCGAATGTGAATTTATTCCAAATGAGTAACTGGAGTAACAGCATTATTGACAAGTTTTGCAGCCGGTTGAAAGCAACAACTGCTCATTAGACACACTACTTCCCCGTATGATGGATTCACACCGTTAACTAGTTTTTCTTAGGGACCGTAGGTGTGATTTAGAATGCGAAGTTTTGAAAAATTCGTTGACTCATTGAGTAAGATTTAGCGAAATGCAGTGATTTTTGACAGTCGGGTTTACTTCCAAAGGTGCAATCTTTTCAATCTTTCATCTAACGGCTACTCTACAACATGATAAAATGATGTCCTCAAGGGTAAACACAGAGGATCTGGAGGAATTTAGTGTTCCATGCCAAAGCAACTGGCAGCCGCTCGCTTTTTTTACATCGAGCATTGCGTCGCACTCGCTTACCTCGCTGAATGCCAACGGCTGTGCTTCAGGCATCTTCTTTGGATCAACGGCTGTTTATATGCCCAATCACTTTATGCACAGTTTTTACATTTTTGTTTTCAGGAGATCACGCTTAGCTTTAAAAATATCAAATCCTTTCTTTTTTGAAAATCTACATAGCTCATGAACAAGCCTGCAAGGTTCTGTTGATTCGAAAAGAACTACTTTTTTAGTTCCCAAGTTTTTTCAATGCTGCAAAATCGATCGATTTACCCATCCCAGATTTCACCTCCTCATGCTATAGAAATTCCAACACTTTCCTCTACAAATCTATTCCAGGCATTACCGCTGGCAAAGAAGGACATGGCGCAACCGGTGCATCTACAGTATAACTCTCCAATGCCTATTTATTCTAGGTAAGATTTGTCATGAACATTCCTGACTTCTCCTTATTATTACACACCTTTCCCCACTTAACTATACATGTTATGCATATCGATCGTTTCATATCTCTCACCTTTGCCTCATCTGTTCTCTTACATTCTCACATCCGAGGTCGGCAAATGTAGCCCGTGATATGTTGTAATTGTTTGAAAAACTGTAAGCAACCAGCTGTACCTCGATCAGCATGGCACAGCTTGGATTGAGAAAATGCGATGTTTACATAAAAAAAGGGAAAGAAAAATTTTTGAGATTTAGAATGTTACAGGTGGCGAATTTTATCCTATCAAAAATTTTGATATGCTGTGGCTTACGGTATTCTCAGAGGCTTACTATTGTAGAAATTGATGGAAATTTATTTGCAGTTTTATATTCTAAACTAACGTATGAGTGCGGAGTTTACATCAGCGAAATTTTAGATGTGAATGCTTTTATATTTTTTGATCGGTAATCTTTTAAGTTTTGTTTGGAATACCTAGTACAGATTTTTTCTTTTTTTCCTACAAAGCAGTAATCTTTTCCGCCAAATTTCTAGTCATTTCTTTTCTCGAAAAAGCCTTCGTCTTTTATCTCGATTTCTGTTTCATTTTCTCCACTACTTTTGTGTTATCTCAACAATTTATCACGTAGATTCCGTCCACTTTCTGTTGCGCTAGCATTCGTCACTCATCGTTCTATCCTCTTTACACATTCCGAGCTGATAGCCAGGGAGCATTGCATAAGATATCCGAATTTTCCAATCGAGTCCGAACGTGATAATCCAGGAGTCGATAATTTAACAAATTTGACCGTGAACTGGAAGACAAAGCTCACTTATGCTTTAAACCAAAGCGCAATTAACGCTACTGCTCCCGTGAGCTCTAAAACGATAACCCCATATTGCAGAGAGCTCTATAACTTTTGAGCGATTTGCTTTATAGCTTGACTTGAGAGATCAAGAAAAAAGGGAAATCCAGTCAATTCTAAAAATATCTTTCGCCGATCGCAGCTGTTAGCCCCCGCGCAATAGCTTCTTGTCGTTGCTATAGGAAAAATACGAAAACATACCAGTACCAAGGCAGTATCGTAAATGTTGGAAGAGTGACACATCCAGCGTAAAAAGCTATGATTGATTGCAGAGCGTGATTGATAATTGTCGAAACATGGTTGAAATAGTTTGGCTTTGAATAAGCTCAAAAGCTCAGCCTTAAAGGAAGACCAGTGCGCCGAATATCTTATTGTTAGAGTTAAAAATGTTTTTACAAATTATGCATAATCTGACTAGAGATATATCTGTTTGATGGTATAGTGTTACATAAGCTCGATGTGTGAAGCATCTGTGCTCAACTTTCGATAAACTTCGAAACTGAAAGATGGAGCTGACAGCAGAACCTATTATTTTTGCAATTTCTTGGTCTTGATAGTGCACTAAATTTCAGTACTCAAATACTTTTCACTACGTTTCAATACTTACTGCCATAAAGCTTTATGCTCTACCCAAATTCGGCTTTGTTCTTGCTGCCAGCTTTATCCGTTCAATATTCTCGGCTTTGATTTAAAAACATAACTCAGTTTCTTTCCTCTTCAAAATGAATTTACCCATAATAAGATGTCATCCTTTCGAGAAGATAATCAAAGCATGATGCTGAAGAGATCTGCAAACCAGTTAAGCTCACCTAACATTTGCACTGGAGCAAAGATTTTAAGACCTAATATGGTAAATCGTCAACTCCTATGTTTATGAATGTTTTGTGAAGAAAGCAATCGTCAAAATGTCATTCGTTTCCGAAAGAGCGAGACCTTGGCTATCACATATTTCCTGCTAGACGTGCGCACCTCACCTTTGATGAAATAGAGGATTTATAAGCTCAAAATTTCATGACCTACAGGAAGGCACCAAAAGTAGTAGTCAATTTTGGCTTTCCATCTCTTATTTAACGAAGAAATCACGAAAACTCTCTCCATAGATGTTAATGTACTTCTTTGCGAAAGAAGCTTCATCTGCTCAACCATTATCAAGAAAGTTATATCTCTTTGGATTAGATTTTCTCCCAAAAAGCCCTCTTTCTGGCCTTCCAATGACTGGCTAATTTTCATGCTCTTACTGAAGATACGTTACACTGACAGAGACGTACTGTTCATGACAATTTTCATCACATTACATAATATCAAGTTTCTGTGAAATTATAAGCCTTGCAAATTTATCAACTGCGTTAACCTACCACACCAGTTAACACATAAAGATCGTAGCTATAAATTTAAAATGCTATAATTGCCATTTTAGCTGCTTTCAACTTCCTCGAAAATTCTTTAGTTGTAAGAGCCTTCTTTCTTGGTTCCCAGGAGAAAGCCATAACCGTAAACTTTGATGGGACTGTTCCCACTTAAATTCATAACAACAAGGCTTTCCCCATTTGTTGTTGGACACAGACAAGCTTAAACTGTCCCAGAGATTCAAATGTTATATGCATTCTTAGCAAATCTCATTGATATCGAAGTCTGAAAATGATGTAAGAGTAGTTCGTGTCAGCGTAACAAAGCTTACCATAGTACTTTAAGTTTGCTACTAATATTCCCTTATGGTTTGCAGAGTGATACCACTTTTATATGATTATGGACGTTTTCAGGGAAACGGCTGAGGAGCAATACAGACAGCAAATCGGTGGTGGTTCGACGCCGATTCCAATGCCATCCGGAGATAAACATTTCGATCCAGCTAAAAGCGCTACACTAAAGCTGTTAAAGGTATAGAACATTTAAAATTAAATTGAATTCTGAGGAATTTCCCAGAATTTTCTCGAATATTATATCAGAAAATTAGGGGCTTTAGCAGTTACATGTTGTAGCTCTAAATCTGCTTTATCCAGCTCCAAAATATGCTTACTTTGTTTCCCTTGTTTGCTTTCCGTAACAAGAATTTCTACCTTGTTGTAGTCAATTACTATTGTTTCAAAAAAAAGCGATGTAGATTTTTATATTGTATCTCATTTATAAAAAACCTCACCGTTCTTATTACGGCTCACTGTAGTAAATCTGCTTTCGTTTGATGTATAGGAAATTTCGATTTAAACTAAAAAACTGATTTGAATATGGATTTTGATTCAATCTTCGAAAAAATAATTTCTGCAGGAAGGAGACGAAGGACACTTCGGAGAACATTTCTTCGAAAAAATTGCATCCGTCGAAGCTCCCAAGCAAATCCCTCAAGAGGTACTAGTTCCAGCTTGTTGCTTTACAGAAATGCAAAGCCATTAACCTTTTGAATTAGGAGCCAGACTGGGCCCGTTATGCTCGGGAGAAGAGCGAACGAGCCCGTTCCAGAACACCGGCCGATCCTTCTCAACATCATACACCAGCGACAACGCCGACCTATTACTATGAAGGTAGACGTCCAGAATCGTACCATGAACGGCAGCGTGAAACGACTCCACACGAATTCATAGACAAGACTAGGTAATTTTGGGAGAATCTGGGCTTGTTGAGATGGACTTTTTAAGCTCTGAGGTTCTAGGACTTACACGCATACAAATCAACCTCGGTGGGGTCCATCCTATTCTCAAACGCTGCCCAACCGACGACGGGTCTACAGCGAGACGAGAGAGTACGTTATGGAGTAGTAAATGATAATCTTAGAGGGTGTGGTGAGGTTTGGAATTTGTATGGTGGCAGGGACTCTAAGAAGATAATCCAAGTCCCGCCGCAAAAGACGAAATTCAAAGCGAAAAAATTGTTCGAGAAGGTAGGGGCGGGCAAGATGACTCCGCCCATCAACGAGGGTGGTCTGAAAAAAATGAATTCAGAAGTGGGCTCAAGGTTAGATAGAAATGTCAGAATTTAATAAACGTAATGAAGGGTGGATTTATGACGATTCTAGATACATACAAACCCAATTTTGGACTTGTCGTTTAGACTACCCTCGTTGGTGGGCGGAGCCAACTCGGCCGCTTCTACATTCTGGAGTAACATTCTCCCTTCAAAATTCATTTTTTGCAGCGGAAGTCATGGGCGAATACTTAGCAAAGGCCAAGCTATTATACAGCAGCAAATTTTCACCATACTTACTTTTGAACAATGCCTTTGATACTTTTTCACTCATATTCTTACAGACGAACCCCCGGCTATGAATACGGCGGATTGGACTACACCAAAGGTTTGCATTTCCCGGCTGCACCCTACGACTATGTATTTAATCGACGTAGCCGAGCTGACGACCAGCAGCGCCGATTCAGACCCGGCTACGAACTGGGTGGCAGCGATTTCGGCAAAGGAGGATACATATCTGATGGTCCATATCATGGGCATGGTCCAGACCCTCCTCGACTTCGACCGCACTACTCGGCCGATCCCCGTTCCGCATGTAACTCGTACTATGCTCCCAATGTGGATGAAGTGGACGCCAATCTGCTCGTCGGTGACACCATCTCCAACCAAAAAATTCGCCATGAGAACCGCCACATCAACCAGAACGAGTTTGGCACCAGCTTTGCGCCACCGGGCGGCTTCAAACGGGACCACACCTATGTGCGACGTCCGTCGGCTCCTCCTGAGCCGGTGACGTTTAGTCTCTCGGCCAACAAGAACCGCTACGGTTACGGCTCCACCGGCAACATCTCGTACCAGCCTCGAGAGCGCGACTCGTGGCGGCAAAGTCAGATCAACGGCGGCGAGAAGGAGGTCAACGTACAAACACTGCTTAACGACGATGTGCTGAGGAAACGGGAACGTTCCACAACCCCCACATGGCGTGATCACAGTGTGAGCAAACAGGAGGCATGGATGCACCGCTCTGATCCACGGCTCAATCGCAATCAGGTTCGCCTCGTGCTAAGTTCTGCTTCGACTGAATTCCAACTTTTGGCGCCATTTGCTTCGCATGGCTTTTTTCTAATGTTTTTCTTATGGCTCAGTTCAACTAAGAAATAAGACGACTTTAGCGCTTTCTACAAGATAGAAGTCCGAGCCCATGCTAAAAATTTGATAGAAAAGAGTTGCTGTCTTTTTGAGGATATCTGAAACAAAGGTTTTCCCAAAGCAGCCTTTCAAAATGTAGTTTTGTTCCTTCAAGCAATACTAAACGTGCCGTTGACACGACCATGTGCAATTTCCCATTTTCTTTGTATCAAACTCACATCAGACAGTGAGAATATATTTCTGTAGTAGTCTTGAGCCATGCATTATCTTCAAAAAGAGCCGCTCACCTAACGTTAAAGGCACCGTTCAGCCAAGATGTGGTCAATGAGATTTTGATGCCTTACGGTAGTGCGGCCCCCAGCTGCATGCCCAAGTTGCACTGCCAAAAGTTGCTTCCGAAGCGAGAAGATTGCTTCAAAATCGCTTTGGATGACGGATTAGCCACGTTGGCTCCTCCTCTTTGACTGGGCGTGACGTTCGTCCCACCCACTCAAAGGGGAGCGCACCTAACCAATCACCGTTCCGCATAACTCGCCCTGCAGGTTCTCTGGAACGGTATTGCCGGTCTTTGCGGTTTCTCAGCTTAATATCCGGAATAAGGGACATAGACCAAGGAACGACAAAAACATGGAAGCCGAGAATCTGGGTGGACGGTGCCTTTAACTCTCTAAGCTTTTGTAAGGGAATTATACACAAAATAAGGAGAAAAAAACCTTTTCTTTTGTCATTTAGCTGGAGTATGGCGCATTATTTGCCACTTTATGTTCCATAGTCGAATGTGAATGTCATTAAATTAAAAGCTTTTTCGCAAAAAAATGTGAGCGTGTTTTTTTGAAAACTCTTTCTCACTTCAGCGCTTAAGAAATTTTTGGTGGATCGCTGATGTTAGATGGATGAGAGTCTAAAACAACAATTTTGTTATTTTCATTTCAAATCATCGCCATATTTGAGCTGGAAATTTTGGTTGTCTGAACGTACATATACGAAGAGCGCTTATCGCATCCGAATTTGGCTTTTATAGTTAAATGCATAGATGCAATAAAAATCTAACGCTTTTCACTTACTTATCAAAATATTTAGTTCAGAGTTTTCGCCTAATTTAGTTTCAAAAAACTTGTGCTTCGCACTAGTTGGTCATTTTCTAGATCTACCCTTCTCTGAGCAGAAATTTCGAGGCAATAAACCAAAGAGTGAGTCAGCTTATGGCTTGATTAGAGGTTTATCTGCTTCCCTCTAACAATGAAGCCTTTTCTTCACGGTTTTGACCAATTCAGTGGTCGTCTTAGTTCACGTAGACTCAGATCAGAACTAACTTGGCTTGAACTTATGAGTAGCTTAGCTGGTTTACTTCCGTGTATTTTATGTCCTGCGTTCAGGTGTTCACTAATGAACCTAACTGGTCTCGCACAGTGCAGCAACGTCGCAATGCATGGGAGCAGAAAGCTTATGATACAGACGCTCGGGTCAATCTGCCGGCTTCGGCTAAGGTATAGCAAATTTGAAAAAAAATTTCATGAGCAGTTCCTTCAAAACATGTGGCTGCAGTAACTAATTACCATACATATGAAGTGTCCTAGAAAAATGTGCGTACTGTTTGATTGCTGATATCGCTCTTATCATAAAGTCTTCCAAAATGCCTTAGACACTGTTTTGTAGACCTAGCTTCAATTTGGATTAACAGTGTAGAGCTAATCACTCATTAGTACTGTGGGATTACGGTAGGAACTTTGGAGAAGGTTTTGAGCCGTTGAGCGCCATATTTCACTTGTGAAAAGGATGGAATGAGGTGAAAACTCTCAGGGCTAATCAGAGTCGCTGATTTCAAATATGAAACCGATACTTCAGCCCAACGTTTCTTTTATAAGTTACGCCAGGTATATCGTAAGGGCCTTTTTCAATGCTTCCCAAAATTGATTACATCATTTGAAGAGCTCTTGAAGCTAGTAGAAAGTTATTCAATGAAAAAGGTATGCGTGAATACATTGTCACATAGTTTCATATTTTTTGGATTTTTTTCTCGAACATCAACTTCACAGTGGCGCTATATGCTGAAAATTCCTACCGTGATCTCAGGAATGGATCGTTGGAATCGAATCTCCCTCTACACGTAATTTCAAATTAATTTCGCTCCACGAAATAGTAGTTATAGCTTCTCGAAAGATTTCATGACAAGAGACTCGCTAACAATCAAACAATAGGCACATTTTTTGGGACAACCGGTATACTAGTTTTTTTAATCTTTGATCCAAACTCAGTGAGGAAGGACATATTCTCAAGATCAACAAATCTCCAAATCTCTCACACGCTAAAGCTGACGAACGTGCGAAGCGTTCAGTGTTATTCGATCCATCCTCACCAATTCATTCTTATCCCTGAGATTGGCAACAACTGTTATAATAGTGCGAGGTTCTCGAGAAAATGACATGTTTTTTTGCTAAACTGCTGAAACATCTAAAAAAAGACGAGCCTGAATAGTAATGCTCGGTATTTCATCCCGTATGTCGTATTTCTAGATATAGGAGAATTACGAAAGAAAGTTAAGCAAAAATTCATTTTCAAAATTCATTTTTTTGTCACACTGAGCATAAGCATCGGAGCTGCATTTTCAAACACGAATTGCGCTGAGCGTTCTCAATTTCATAAATTCTTTACAAAATACTTATACTTCGTCGAAACGTTGAATTTGTCAGATTTTAAACGTTAAACACAACAACTTCCAAGCGATTGTGTCCCTTTTGAAGTCCAAAGTCACAGTCATTAGCACGGTCAAAGCAGGATTTTCATAATAAAATTGCTAAGTCCATAACTAGTATAGACAGCATGCACGAGTAGTGCCGTAACGCTCCCAATGTATACCGTAAGGAATAGACAGAGTGTCAGATCGTTGGTTCGAGTTCTACGAAAATCCTAAACTTTTTGAGGTTTGATACAGCGTGAACTTTTTCTTTGACCTAAGAAGTCTACACTGAAATATCTATTGAGTCATTTACAACCCCCATGATCCTCGTTACCGCCCTCCTAGAGTTAGTCATCGCAAAACTGCTTCCTCTGAAAAAAAATCGGAGGCAGTGATTTTTCACGAATGGTTGTAAAGCTACGAAGAAATGCATCTTTTTCCAGTTTTTATGCGACGGCTGTAATCCCGTGCCGATCTACATATCCATCGCGAACTTTGATCACAAACACTTTTGAACGTTCCTTATCATATATCGATTGTTACGGTAGGCTGTAGTTCCTCATTGGTCGACGTCGCGGCGGTTCCCGCGATTGCGAATCGTGGCAGCAGGTGCGAATAGGTGCCCTATGGATCAACTTTCGAAGTGACTGCAGAGTTCGGCATGCCACTGCCTCCCCCTCAAGTGCAGCTGTTCCGAGCCGAGCAGTTACTTGTGCTGGCTGAGAAGAACATTCCGCTAGTGCTTGGTCGTCCGCTTCGTTCTTCTGCGCTCGTGCGGTTGAAGTCCAGCTTAACGTAACCTACCTGTGTATCCTGATTACCCTTGGAGGTGTTTACTACCCCTCTGGCTACTACTTACCCTTCTTCCTGCCCTCGTAGCTCTTTAGCTGCCCCTTGTCACCTCAGCTGCGTCATCCGTACTACCTTCCCATTTCATCGCTACTCACAGTTCCATGATCCCTTTCTTCTCCTTTTATCCCCTCGCCTACAAACAGTGCTGTTCAGCACATCCTCAGCACGCAGTAATAACGTTGTAACTCGCCCAACACTGAAAAAAAGGCCCCAGCATACATCTCAATAGAACAACGTGCAGTGTGCAGTGTGTGGAGCGAATCTTCCCCGTCTTCGTCTTTCAGGTACCACCGCCACAGCCGCCGGCTTGGCATAACAAAGCAGCTAAAACTCATAACGTTTGGCAGCAAGCAGCCGATACTATGAGCCAACCACAACAGCAGTCTTATGAGACGGTAAGCTTTTTGTGCTGAACACCTAACACGGATAGCAGGAATTTTGAATTTTTTCTAGAGTTTTGCTGGGCAATTTTTACGAGTACATGTAGAATTTATAGTAAATAACTTGATCTTAAGTAACCTAACGAATAGAGTGACTCCCAAAGCTGTTTGTTCACTATTTTTTGACTCAATTCCCAAAAGTGAATCCTGGTCAAAAGGAGCAGCAAATGTTTACTAGACGAGTTCAACCGTCTACAGTAACGATAGCAAATCAACTTACCGTCCACTCTCTAAACCTTTGGTAATAGAGGACGATGCAGTAATTTTATAGAAAAAAGTTCTTCCTGGATTTTAGTAATTTGAAGACCGAGGGTCAAGGAATTCCCTATATGGACACCTGTGGGTCCTACTCTTCAATGGTGCTTTTGCCTTTGCTCATTCATTAATTCACTACACAATCTGGCGCTCATCTAGAGAATGTAGAACTTACCGATCATCTCAAATTATTTCTATGCGGTCTCAATAGGTAGGATAAAGTAGACTGAAGTCCTTTTGGGAAACTTGGGGTTTGTTTCGTCAAAATCGTGCGTGAAAGGGGTTGTCAAATAGCAATTAATAGCTTAGGACGCAATGTTTCCTCAAAAATTGTTGTGCTCAATTTCTTTCTTAAGTTCATGATTCGTTACACACTTTAAATGATTGTAGAGCTGAAACATAGTCGTATGTTACACGTTTCTAATAGCATACCGATTCACTGTTGTAATAGCTGTATTGTCATTAGCACGTAGATATAGAGTATGCTCCTTCTTTTCAACTAACATTTTTAAAACCTTTTTGCGGATTAAAAAATGTCAATTTCTCCTTTTTGGCGCCCACGCATACCTCTCAAAGATTTTTTTGTAGGCGGCAAAAGCTGATTGGTGATTGCCCCTTGCTCCCCTTTCCTCGAAATTCCGCTCATTTTCTGCTTCAATGCTTCCTCTTTGAAGCTAAAAATAAAGTGGAAGGGAGGGGTGGGCCATGCTTCCAGCTTCAGCATCGACTAAAGACCCAATATTATTGCGATCTAAAATGTTAGACATACACATTCAGCTCATAACACCCCCTCCTCTAGCCCTCACCCACCTTTCTTTTCTTCCGTACTGCTAATTTCGGGACATCACGCAAACAATATCTTTGAATGCGGTTGGCTGGGATCAATTCTGAGGATGTCGGAATTGAGTTTTTAGCGAGAACTGTTATCCCACGAAAAAACAACGAGAAAATCTGCAAAATCTTTTGTAATATGTAGTGAAACATACTAGTCCAGCCCCAAGGAAGAGGCTGTGTTCGTTCGTAAGGTGGGCAAATCGAGAATTTTTTTTGGGAACTGTGCTCCATGGTCAGTCTGAAGGATTTTTGTTGGAATTGCTAAGTGTTATATTATAAGGAAAATCTTTGTCGGAGTCGAATGATACGCAACTAAAATTTATGTTTCAAGTTACGCAATACAATAGTCATTGCATCATTGTTATATCTTCACTATAATACAATTTCAATATGTATGTGAAATTTTAGATATTCACTGTAAATGTTCCATATTGTGTAAGTGAAAAATTGGAAGCGTTCTGCTTCAAAGTATTTTAGTCGAACAAATGTGAATAGTTCAGTAATCCTGCTACTGTAAACTAGAAGTACCATACCATTCCAACAGCCAGCGCTAAGACGATGTCGGCCGCAATTAAAATCCGCTTGAAAAAGGAGTGTTTAGCTCTACTTTGCCTCCACGAAAAATTTGGTTTTATCACAGCAGCAACGAAAAATTTACAAGCTTAAATTTTTTGAGTCAACCACAATCGAACCTTTAAGTATTATCAAATAGTAGCCGTATTATTTTTATTTGCTATCCAAAAGTTTATGCGAACAGCGTAAATATGTCCCTTGACAATTGTCTGTGTTGAAACGAGAAAGCGCGTCCGCGTTGTATACGCCGCAAATCGCACGACGATGAATCACAAAGTGCATTGGCATGTCTGTGATGAGAAGCGTAACTCGAGAGATCCAAATTTCCATGTGGGCGACGCTTTTTAACTCTGAGACATGTACCAATAAGAAACGAGACTTGCAAAAAAAACTAGTTTTCAATAAGAATCTTCCCCACTTCGCAATACCCAGTTGGCTTTCCCAAACTTCGGGGGACATGACGCCAGCCTCTCGCAAAATTTCCATATCTGGAGAAAATCCCAAGATTGTCGTTCCAGGCATAAGCACGTACAAAATACGGAATACAATACCGGTGTAGTTCTCCACGCATTTAAATGCATAGAATCTATGCAGTGACGAATATCTAAACCCAAATCTTAGACAGTTTTTTACGATAACATTTATATTATCAGAAAGCCTTTTTGGGTTATACATTCATAATAGTAGTAATATCACCTTTCTAGTTGAAATCAAATATTTTGTTTATTAAATTCACAACTTCATGTAGTTTCTAGATTTGACACATGCCGCAGAAGTTGTGGTGACGCGTGCGTTCGATTTTGTGTAAAAATGGCTAGATAAATTGTTCTCACCGTTTAGACAATGTTTTACCTAATCTCCACGGAACACTAATAACCTATAAATTTTGCATGAGAGCTCATGTTAGACAGCGTTGAATTGTGCCTCAGCCGCGAATTACATAATTTTATAGTGATCAAATAAAAAACAAAATCCTCTGCAATGAATCTTGATTCTATTACGAAATTACCAAACGCACTCAAAGCTCATCGTGTAATTAGTAGCAAAAGATAAAAAAAAGCTTCAAAAATTTGAGGTCAAAAATGTTGGGAAGTTTTTGCTACTTTTGTTGGTTGGCATGGAAAAGTGTAATTGGATCATGTATGTGGAAGTCATCAATGTGTTAATATTACGTAAGCTGTGAATACATAGTGTTTTAGATCATTTTTGATTTTGACAGAACGCTGTTATTCCAGAACTACTACAGCAGTGGTGGCGACTCTCATAAGCAGTATCGAGCCGAGTATCACCACGAAGAGCGTCGTTCTGAGTCGCAGCAGAGTCAGCAGCAGCAGTATCAGCAGCGCCGGGAAGAACAGCAGTACACACAAGCTGTCCCGGTGCAGCAGGTTTGGATGGTTACGTTCAAGACTTTTCGGAGGCATTCGTGTGCCAGCGCCGTTCCAGCGATGTTCAGGAGCCGCACCAGCCCCGTGCAAGCGCCGTGTTGCAACCCACTTGGGCGCAGCGCGTATGACCAACTTCGCGGCACGCTCGCAGCACTGAGCTAGGATGGCCTGGCACAGTGCTGGAACGGCTGGCATGGCTAATCTAGACGTGACTCAAGCAACTAAAGAAACACTAAGATGGAAATGTTTAGATCAATCTAAATCATTTTAGAGCTACATCAGCCCAAATACTGCGAATGGGACCAATGCTGATCTGCTATTGAACTCAGGTTTCAATGCTAATCAAATAGATTATGTGCGAGACCATTTCGACAAATATCGAGCAGGTCCTAAATATCCAGGATCACACTACGAGCAGTCAAGTCAGTATAGTAAGAGCTACTCGTCTTCCACTCAGCAACAGAATGTACCCCAGGTAAGCTTTTAGTTAGTAAACTTCATCATTCGAAACATATGTAATCTGGTCCCATTAGCGCAAATTGCTGATTCTCGGCATACATTGACTTTCTTACATCTGGCATTCATTGGTCGTCGCGGATTCTGACATATTTCATCGAGCAAAACAGACGCGGTACTCGTGACTGGCTTAGACTACTGTCTTCGATGAGTTTTTTGCAGTAGACGAATAGCTGACAGCTGCACTCACCTGCGCTATAAACTTCGGGGAATAGGGAAGTCTGGAGAGATTTTCTAGGTATGACAAAATTATTTTATGTTCTCGCTTCAAAGCGGAGCAATTATATAATTACAAGCGCAAGACATACTGGATTCGACGCATATATCCCCAGATGACTAACCACAGAATTTTCCGTCTTATAAGGGCCTATGAAATAAAAGAAAAATTGATGCCATTGTTTCCACAATGAATGAAAGGCTCATAAGGCTCTTTCCTTTCCATCTTGACCATTTTTCTCCTTTCTGAGGCCCAGCTGACTGGCAGTTTTTAGTTGAAAAGAGTTATTAGTTGTTCTCGGTTGAGATTTTAGTTTATTTTGCTTTACTGATTTTTTGTTGTCATAGGCAGAAAACTTTAGTACATTTTGTAGGTATGCCACACAAAAGAATGGGTCTAGGGTGATGTAGACGCAAGATTGAATTTGGCGCGCTCTGACCCGGATCCAACTTGGATCCGATTTGGATCCGATTTGAACCAGAGTATAGTACACTGGAGTATGCCCACCTTGAAAGAAGTGTTTTTTCCCTTTTCAGCCCAGTTTGTCTTCGGATTCTGGGAGCACGCATATTGCATACATAAAGTTCTTTACATTATATATTCACCATACGCTAACAGACAGGATCTACCCCTTTTTAGCAGGAACCAATTCCACTGTCTGGTCCCGGACAGACGTATAGCTATAGTACGGAGACAAGGGTAAGTGGACAGTGCCCACCCACTGCTCCACCACACTCTACCACGAACAACATCAAAACTTACATTGTACCAAATCATCACAACGCAAAGGTTAAAGCTTACTAATCCATCTTCGTAAACAGTGGCTCTCTAACACAGTCAGACTTCAAATTTTGTGTGCAGGTTGTTGTGAAGTTCTTTTTCGCATAACTCTTATAGTTTTCTGCAGTAATATAATTTTTGTTCTTTTTTATGACATTTATTTCTGTAATCCATAATTGTTTGAGTAACACCCTTTACAAAAAAAAGGATCAAAACTTTACCAAGCCTGTTTAGACTACCACTACTACTCAAGGGGGTCCAGTAAATGGCAGTTTCCAACAGAGCAGTTATAACCAGTCATCCTATTCAACAGATCAATCAAAGTCTATCCCGGTTGAGAGAAGAAATGAGGTAAGACAGCATTTTCTCGTGAGCCTCTTCTCGAAAAAAATTTTTGGGGTGAAAAAAAAATTACAAAAATCTTGTCATAATAGCTGTAGATCCAGGGAAGGCTATCGGTAAGACAGCGCCAACTCAGTCCATTGATTCGCTTGATCCACTTCATCTACTCCGCTAGGTCAAATCAGTGAACTGACTATTGGCGAAGTGGATCAAGTGGATCAAGTAGACATCCGCGTTGCTATTGGCCAGTTCAGCTTTGACTAATAGCGAAGCGGATCAAGTGGATGAAGCGGATAAAGTGGATCAAGTATGGCGTGCCTGAACGTAAACCGAAGTTAGATGACTAGATTAACGCAGTTTATGACATTCTAATTCCTTTCTCTATTTTCCTCTCCCGCCCATGCCTCTCTTTCGCATTCTATTCACAACCCTACCTCCCCTCGCCCTCCTTCAAATATTTTGTACAGAAATTTGTATTAGTACATTAGCAGCGTCAACCGCGACAAGCCGGCAGAATCGTGTTACACAACCGTAGAAAAAGCTCTCCGGGCTCACAGAGAAAACGCACACTCCGAACCATTATGAGCCCGACCAGATGTGTTTTCGTATTCAGGAGAGTAGTTATCAGAAGTCCGTTACGGAGAACACTCGTTCCGTTCTTCCAGCTCCGGCTCCACCACAGGCAACAGTAGAGGTTAAGTAAAGCTGTGTAACAAAAGCTTGCTCTAATTAGAAAGCGCTCTACTTTGGCTTGTGCTTGAGTTTGTTTCCTATGTTTTGGACATAATTCTATAAATAGTCATTTGGTCGTTCTCTAGTTCCATAGTTAGTTCTCTGGAGCAATTATATCTTTCATCTCTCGCAGATCATCTAATTATCTCAAAAGATAATATTTGATACCTTCGTCGACCATAAATGGCGCGCAGAACGTGATTACAGTGTATTTCCAGTAATTAGGAGGTTCCTTTAGCTTGCAGAAAATGAGAAATTATTCTGCGAAAATGTATAGAGATACTGCTTTCTTCTCTTAATTCAAAATGCGTATGATTGGAATTATTATTAGAAAAAAAGATAAACTGGAGAAGAGTAATTTCTGCTTCATTTTGAGCATGCACATGATCGTACTTGCCCAAACAACATGTTATGAATGAGAGCGCTTTCGTTACCGAAGGCCTTGAAATTTCTAGCAAATGCCCGAAAAAGCGAATGATAGGAAGTAAGCTTATGTCGAAATTAGCTATCATGCTCTTATCAGGTGTCGAGGAATGCGTGAGGCCATATCATCCGTTTTTCAGGAAAGTTCAGTCATTTGGCGCTTCAAAATGCTTTCCATTTTCTATCCTCATTCCAATGACACAGAGAATAAAGTTCCATGAAGCATATTCTGAAACAAGCCACAACTCATAATCATCACAAAGCTCTCTCATTATATTCTGCGTATTGCTTAAGATGCACTCCACTTTTATCTTTCTGTCTTCCAGCGTTCAATCTCTGAGCTACTTATCTTCTTGCTGTCGCCTATAGGATTCTCAGACCCTTCTCTTGCTCTGCTTTTGACCTCGATCGCTACGTTCGCTCTATAAATTCTGAGATGCGAGGTATATCTACTAAGCAGAACCTCTTCAGGAAGAAAGGTTCAAGAAAATGTTTTCGTCGGAACAAGCTCGGAATGTTCCTATTCAGCAGACGTACACCACCTCTGAGGTTAATGCTTCGAAAAGCACATGTTCCTCAGGCGAATATCTCTAGATACTTAGTTAGCAAACATATCACCAAATTTTGTTTTTGCGTTCGGCACATAATTTTTGATTTTCATTCTTTACTTGGTTCTTTCTTGGTTGTTCTGTTGATTTCTCATAGAGTTATAGTTTTCTTGTAAATAGCAGTAATTTATTAGAGAGATAGACGACTAGACCACTCCTTCAGTTAATAACCAGCATATGTATGAGCACTATTTTAGCATTGTTCAGGGAAGCCACTTCCAAAAGAACACAACCACCTCGAAAGAGGAAACGCACGTCATACCAATACAGCCAGCTCGCTCAGAGATTAAGGTTTCTGGGATGGTTAGACTAGAAAGTTAAAGTTACCATGTAACCATAAATAGTGCTGAAAAGTTCGATATAAACGCTATCAAGCCTCATCGTAAAAGCTTACAAAACTCTCCAGTGCAAAATGTGCAAAATAGTAAACAAGATCTTTGCGGAAACAGTTTCATTGTGGAAAAACTGGTAAAAAGTGCGCCGAAAAGTGACATGGTGACCTGGAAAATAGGATTATGGCTTTGAATAGAAAAGTCAGCTTCAGTTACCATGGAACTGACTCTTTGCTTTTGCTATTCTAGACATTTGAATAGTAAGTAAGATGAAGAGAAAAAAATTTGTGTACTGCGTAATGTGCACGTTACTAGTATCTATCCCTGGCTGCTTCCTGAGTTGCGTGCTGGCGCCGATCCATCGCCGTGCTAGCAGCGTGCCAGAACGCTGATTTATCATTGCTGACGCGTCTACTTCGGCTCCGGCACGGCAATGGCACGGTGTTGATGGGCAGCTCTGGACGCTGCATTAAGCGGACCATGCTATACAAACGATATTAGTTGAAAAAGAGTAATGTAGAACTTAGAATAGTGACTTGAATAGAAACTTAGAATACAGGCTTACGTTAGTAGCGATAGTGTTCTCAGACTGAGTTCTGATAATTATCACACAACAAGCAAATTTTATGATATTTTAGGAAAGCTACCAGAGAAGCGAGACATCGAAGTCGGAGACTACCAGTCGGGCAATTCCTGTGCAGCCCGTAAGCAGCATCCAGGTAGTCCATAATAATTTTCTGAAGTACACATGCAGAAATTGCTTGTGCGGAAAATGTCGGATCAAACCATTCAATGCCCTGCAGCAAATTAAACATTCGCGATGATATTCAGTCATTATTCGAGAATAAGAACTGAATAAAGATAATATGAACTGAACTAGCATCAGTGGAAAATAATAAATTGAAACGAGTTACTCGAGATTTTCCTCGTATTTTTGAGATTACAGGATTCTCAGAACAAAATGTTCACATCTTCGTCGACTACACAGCCGTTGACGGTCGCCCCACCTCCGCAAGGCTACACTACAAGCAGCAGTTACCATACTGAGACTCATACCACTCAGGTGAGTTCTCAAAATTTCGAAGGTATTTAGAGTGAAGAGGACAACTGAAAACAATAGATAAGAATAAACTAAATCAGTTCAAGTTTGAAACATTGACATTCAAGATATGCCTGAAATTACTAATATGGCATGAGGCTGAAACTACTAATATGGCATAAGGTCTGCAATTTTTAGAGTCATCTGCAATGCTGATCACTTTTGCACTTCTTCTTTTGTCGTTATCTGCTTTTCAACCAAAACTTCCCTCATCTATTTCAGCCACCAGTCGTCATGCACTCTCCTGGCGGTTCATACAAGAGTTTCCAAAGCTCGCACTATTCTAAGCAGGTAATTTTCTAGCCTCACAAGAAAGAAAGGCTTTTCAGAACGTTCTCTTCAAGCTTGTATAACTGTTGATTAGTGAATGACGCGATAGGATTCGCTAACTTCCTTGGAGAGCAGATATTTCTTTGCGTTGAGCACCAATTTTGCGCAAATATTTTTACTGGCCCAACTCGTTTCAATACAGGAGAAAACAACATCTACAACAACTACACAGCCTCAAACCATCCGTACTACAACCCTGCCAATTACCAAAACTACGACTTATGATTACCAGCAGGTAAAAAAAATGATACAAGATTCGGCCTAGTGTCACCTGGACCAAAAATCCCATTCCAGCAAGCTATGCCGACACCGCAGCCTGCACCGCAAATGACTCAGTCGAGCTTCACGACTCATACCGAAAAGGTGCGAACATGATTTATTGCAATTCCTGGCTGACACAATCAAAATTAGGGAGAACACACTTTTCTAGACTTCCACTACCACCGCTGCTCCAATCCAACCAGCTCCAATGCCACGGTCCAACTACGAGGCTCAGTTCAGCAGCCATAGGGAAGAGGTTGGTGAACAACAAAAAAGAATTTGAAAGTATAAAAAGTGGTTTTAGTCCCGCCGCGAAGAAACAAGTCGTCCAACATCTCAACTCAGTCAGTACAGCGAGCAGAGGAGCTACAAACGCAATGTGGAAGAGAAAACTGAAACAAAGTAAGCTGACAGTACCTTTCTATAAATTTCTGAGAGCATCCGCTGCTGAAATCGACCGACAGCGAAATAATGGTCAGAAAAAACTTTCTAAGTGCCACGCCTAATACTTTTTATCTTGTTTATCCGATGAAGTATGATAAAGTTGGAAGGAGGAAAAAACAACTGAGTGCTTTTTGGCCCCAACTGTGGGAAGTTCCAATACTAATCTGCCCAAGCAGTTTCAAACTTCAAGCACGCAGTTACAGGATTCTGTATTTATGTGAATCAAAGCAAACTGCTAAGCCCATATAAGAATAGTGTAAAAATCATTCTCGCCAAACTTATTCAGACATGATTGAAAAAGAAAATTACCGGATTAATGTCTTGTTTTGGCGTTGATAAATACCATGAAAACCACTGATCGCTCAAATTCTATTAAAAATCAGCAGCAACCTATTTAGGACAATCCCAGCCACTACAAGTATTCTGACTTCGGATGCTAATAAGACTTTCACTGCCCAAGATGTGTTCAACAAGAGAGAAGAGATGAACGAGACCTTGCCTCTAGGAAGCATCAGCAACACTCGTGCAAACACTCAGGTCTGGCTAATGAAATCACGATCCTCGCAAGATACTCCATAAGTGGTCATAATTTACTTCTACACCCTTCGATTGCCTCTATCTTACAGTAAATGGACATAAAAACCGTCAAACTACATCAAAACTTACGTACAGTAGTTGTAGTTCGCTCGGAAATTTGAATTTTACGCCTATTTTACTTAGAGATATGCCTAAACGACGGCTGAAGAAGTAAACTGATAGCTCGTCTATTCAGGGCGAATATCGTGACCTTGAAGGTCATGATGTGTCTTATAAACGCGAAACTCAGACTGCTGTCGATCCGGGAAAAGAATACGCTCTTCTAAAGGAGGAGGAGAGAAGAGTGGTTGAAAAGGATCTTGAGCCGGGTGTTATTTCAAGGTATGTTTGATGAAACTCAGAATGAGGCAAAAACTTCAATATCTTCTATATCAGGCATGTGACAACTAAATATTACAAGAAGAAGACCGTAACCGACACCACAACGACTACCAATCCCTAGAGGAATCCTCAAAAATCATGCCCAACGGATATGAAATTTTACTAGTGCCTATACGACAATGCTTTCTATAAATTTCAGAAATGCTTTTGAACACTTCATACTTGCCTTTTGCTCTGCCATTCTCGAATCTGAACATTTATTTCTATGATTTGCAACATTAGCATAAATCTTTGCATTTCGGCTTTGATGTTTGAGGGAAAGAAGTGTCAGGCAGCTACAAATTTTGGAATTTTTCGATTGAAAACTTCGAATGGAACGAAGCATACAAAAATAATCTTGATTAGAAGCTTTCTTAAATTCCTTTACGTGTTTTGTCTTCCCGATGTACTGCACAAATATACTTATCTAAATTCTATGCCCTTCTCAAAAGAAAAAAAAATGCATTTTCGTTGTTGAAAGGCTTTTCAAGTTGGGATGTTTGTAATTTTGCCAAGATCAAGTAGTAGAGCAAGAGCGCTCAAAGAGTGTCTAGCTTTGCACACTGTCAACCTCAGACGTGCCGGAGAAATCATCCTTCCTCAAAGGAACAAGTACAACATCTGATTTCCTGAAACATTTATTAAACCATGCCATCAGCGGAATTATTATGTACTACGTGAATGAGAATTGCATTCATTAGATACGAGATGCAGTGTTCAAAGATAATTCATTTTATAGCACGAGGCCACGAGCGTATTGATATCTTCGCAGGTAGCTGTGGGTAGGAACATCTTGGCGAATGTACAATTTCGCTTTACCCAAGCAAGCACATCGGTCACGCCATATTGGCTAGCGTAGCTTTTGACCTGAAACAGCTAGCCTTGGAAGTTTTCAAGTACTTATGGTTATGTACTTACTTGTTGACAGTGTGCTGGTGACAGAAGTAATGGTCGACCTTGTTTGTCACGAGGAATTTCCTGCGTGATACGAGGGGGAGGAATTTGCACAGGAACCGGCACCTTTGCATCGTACTTCTTTAGTGGACCCTGAAATGATATGTCGAAACTTCTCTTCTAGCATTCATGAATTTTCTATAGAAAATGAAAAAAATCCAGATAGGTGCTCTTCTGGTACAAACCTTATGAGCCTGAGGTAATGCAATCTCTTCTCCCACCAACGGCGTTCTGGCTATACTAGCCGATCCAATCAAGCGCATTTCCTCCTCTGGTCGCTCGAATTCTTCGTAGGACGCCTTAAAAATAAAATCAGTGAAAATTTTGCAATCTAGTAGATCTTTCTCTCTGTGGGATATTTTCACTGTATACCGCATCAAAGTTTTATGTAGTGCGAAAGTTTGACAACGCGCTAAACGATACTGTTTAGTGAATGCAGCAGGTGAATGTTCTCAATAATCGAATTAGTAGCTCCATCTAAGAATGGTTTCGCTCCGAACTCAAACTCGTTCAGCTGGGTTATTTATAGCATCTCCGAATTTGGAAGACATCAGACTAGACTGCGATGCAAATCCCTTAAAACACTTGCTGAAGTTAAAAATAATCATTTTCCTAAGACAGGGAGCCGGCATCGGTACAAACTTAGGGAGCCACTTTCATCTGGTAAGGTATGCTTGAGAAAAACCTCAATGCTTGTCATTTTTGCTAACATCAGGCTGGAGCCGAAGTAGTAACAACTAATTTTGTATGTTCATTTGATCTTTTCTTTCAAAAATGTGATGTCACATATAACTAATCTCAAATTTGTAGCACTCCTTGAAGCAAAAATGAATAAAAAAATCAGCTTACGCTCAAAAAAGTTTGATAAACAGAATTGTTCAAGGAATTGGAATTGCTGTATGATTTTCTTATCAATGAATGTTGAAAAACAATGCAGGAATAGAGAATGTGAAAATTGGGGACTCATTACTTTTCCAAAGTGTTGCGTGCAAATCCAAGTTCAGCATCGAAGCTTCTAGCTCTAAGCATGAATAAGAAGAGATGTTAGTCTCAAATTTCCGTATATGAGTGCTCGATATGATTGATTAAAGTGTTTCTCGGTAACCTGTTATTTTCTCTTGATGGTCCAGCTTACTAAGTTAAAAATGCACAGAGATAAATGTTGCGTAAAGAATATGTTAGTAAACACCACACATCTCGTTTTGCTTTTTATATATTAACGCAAATAGAGCATAACTAACCTTTTTCGGAACCAATTGGATGTCCATATCGTCAGCGACCTCCACACACTTGTATTTCTTCGTTTTGAGAGGAGTTCTTGGCTTGTACGCATAGCTGAGAGCAACGCAGACAAACAGCAAGCCGAGTAACCTCATAATCTCTCTGCGAATTTGGAGTATCGTCAACTGGCATAGTTTTTTCGAAAAGAAAAATGAACAGGAAGAAGAGGAAGTAAGCAGCTTTCAGTGGAATGAAACAAACACAAAAAAAAGATGCGAAGAAAAAGTGATTTGGCTGCAGCTTTCAGGAAGCGAAAGTGATCGCTGATCATATCATCGCTCGCTCTCGGGGGTCGAAAGCTTGACCTAAATGCTTTGCTACGCACGAGCGAGCGCTCCCACCACTTGCCGAAACGAGTTGCAAAAGTGAACTTGAGACCTCTTGAACTGGATTTGACGGGAAGTGCGTGTGTTCCGAATTTGAAAACCTGGCAGAGAAAATATCCTAGCCATCGAAATAGCAAGAATAGCAACCGGTTTTGGAAATTCTTGTAGCTTTTCAACAGATTCAGCCGTGACAATAATTATTGGGTTGTTTCAAAAGTTTCACCCGTTTTTACAGCTCTTTTTGGAATTGCTATTTTTGGAGGTAAAAACAATTTTTGAACCATGCTAATATCACCTGAAACTCTTCTTTTCTGATTTTCAATGAAATGTTTCTGCTTTCATGTAACTCTGTTTAATCTGCATTTTCGTATCCTAAAGGAAAACAATTGTTTCTTTTGCCCTGATTTCATAATTTCATAAAATTCACGATTAAAAGGCGACAATTTTCGGAAATCTGTATTGTTTGCTAGGGATTTGTGCTACCTAGTGTGTTTACAGGAATGTCATCTGAAAAAGCCCAGAAAAAATTTTTATTCACAAACATGAACGAAACATGATCTGTCGTTGCAGCCCTCGCAGGTCGAATAGGGCAATATAATTGCCAAACATTCGATGTATGCCGCTAAAATAGTTCTAGTACACTGCATTGAAAAAAACTCTCAATTTTTTGCAGCCGAAGAAGTAAAAAACCTTATTGTTAGAAAAACACTTTCTATTATTAGAGGGCCAATTCAGTAGCTTTTTTTGAATTCATACAAAAAATCTTTTGAAAAAAATTTAACGAATTCGAGATTGTATCACCACTGGCCCACCACTGGCTACACTTAAACAAAATTTACTATTCTACTACAATTTAGATTAAGTTATGGTCTGTCACAGTGAGTGGTCAAAATAATGTTCGACAATTTTTGCAATTGAAAAATTTCTTCGTAGTTGCTGCGATAACTATTCATTCTGCATAGAATTGGAAGGACTTGTAGTAGATCGTAGAACGGTTTATTTCATCTGCAGTGTCATTTCTGAAAAAGAGTTATGAAGAACTAGAATTAAAATTTGAGAAAAATTTGTTTTTTTTCAAGCACAATTTCTAATTTTTGAACTTCCTTTCAAAAGGCAGAAAGCTTGTTATTTTTGTTATAAGCCAATGCTCTACCATTTTTGTTGCAACAAAAAATTTCACTCATTAACTTATTTGAAAAGAAACTATGTATGTGGGGAATAACTTCAGATAGTTCACGAATGAGATGTCAACGCCACAAGATTAGGCGGAAGAGCTATAAACAAGAGGAATATTGCAAGAATCGGGTCAGAGTCGTTTTACGTTCTTTTAGCTACAAAGTTCGCCGTCGCACAGTTTCTTCGTCGCAATGGAGTTGTTGTGTTAGTGTCTGATCAGTTATTTTCTCGTATGATCTGCCCTCGCTGAGGCGCCTGCGACCTCAATGCGCGGGAAATGAGCGCTATAAAAGGCGCTCGCTGTTAGCCATAGTCAGTTCGTCTGTTCACTCATCTGCGTCTTTTATTTTTGGCTCCTCTATTATTTTCTAATAAATATTCTGGTATTTTCCGTGTGCTCCTCAGGACGAAGAATCGACGTGTCCGGAATCGAGGACACAACAGTGGCGATCAGGAGGCAGCGGCTACTAGCGAAGAAGTAGCCGTAACGAAGAAGCACGCCAGGAACCACGCCGAAGAAGCTGCAGGGAGCCGAAATCTCGAAAAGCTGGTGGTCACAAATGGCGAAAGTAAGCACAGAGGATTTAATGATCATGTTCAAGGAACTGATCAGAGAAGACCAGAAGAGCCTCAGGGAATTGATGAGAGAAGAGAGGCAAGAAATGATGGAGACCTTTCTGAAGCACATCGCAGGTACTGGACAGCCCAATACGTCGTCGGAAGTTCCGAACATGATGTCCGCGCTGAGCAACCGGATCGAAAAATTCTACTTCGACCCAGAAGCGGACGAATGCTTCAGCAAATGGTACGCGCGCTACAAGGAAGTCTTCGTCGAAGATTCGAAGCAGCTGCCGGAGAGTGCCAGGGTGAGGCTTCTCTGCGAAAAGCTCGACAAGGATTGTTTCGAAAAATATCAGAGGCATGTGCTACCGAAAGAAGTGACTGCGATTAAGTTCGAAGAAACCGTCGAAACATTAAAGCAACTATTCGACGTGAAGATCTCCGAATTTACAATGCGGTACCAGTGTTTGAAACTGGAGAAGGCGGATTCCGAAGATTATCTCCTGTATACCGGTCGAGTGAACGAATTGTGCGAAAAGGCGAAGATCCATGAGCTGGATAGCGATGGAATCAAGTGCCTGTTGTGGATATTTGGCCTGAAGAGCCAAAAAGAAGCGGAGATTAGGCAGCGACTCATAACCGTACTGGACAGGGAGTACAAGGCTGGACGAAAACTGTCGTTACATGAGTTGTACCTGGAGTGCGAAAATTTCCTCAGTCTCAAGAAGGATAGCGAGACTATAGCTGGATGCACGAAAATAGTCGAAGCAACGCGCAAGGAAGAACCCACGAAGTTGGAATGCTGGAATTGTGGTAAAGCTCACTTCGTCAGAGAATGCAAAGCGAAGCTATGGTTCTGCAAGAGGTGCAAGAAGACAGGGCATAAGGAAAAGTATTGCGAAGAAGTGGCAGAGAGAAAAGCACTGGTTCAGCAAGAATCGAAACGAAGAATCCACAGAAGCAGCGACACCAGTAAGAACAGAAGTTGGACGAAACCAAAACGCCATGTGCACAGCGTAGCGAAGATTGAAAATGCGATGGTGGATGTCAACTCTACACGCATGTATATCGAAGCAAAAGTGAATAGCCATCCAGTTAGTTTCCTGTTAGATACTGGATCGGACATCACATTGCTGAACGAATCAATTTGGAGAAGCATGGGTTCTCCTCGGCTAGAGAACACGAACGTGGTCGTCAAGAATGCCAGTGGAGGCTACATGAAGGTTCATGGAAAGCTATGGTGCGACTACGAGATCAAAGGTTCTAGGAGCGAAGGCTACGCATATGTGACGCCCCACAACTCATTGCTAGGACTGGAATGGATCCAGAAAAACGAAGAAATGTCGTACCACTTGAGCAGGATGGCTGCTGAAGTGAAGTTGGGACAACACGATGCTATTGCTCAGAAGCTGAAAGAAGCTTACCCGGAGGTCTGCAAAGAAGGTTTGGGATTATGCACGAAGGAAAAGGCACACTTGAAAGTTGACGAAAGCGTTCGTCCTGTTTTCAAGGCTAGTAGACCTGTCCCCCATGCCGCACTCGAAGCCGTCGAAAAGGAGCTTGACAGGCTATTGGACCTGAAGGTTATAAGTCCGGTGACACATAGCGAATGGGCAGCTCCCATCGTATGTGTTAGGAAAGCGAATGGAAAATTGAGAGTGTGTGCTGACTTCTCGACTGGACTCAACAAAGCGCTGGAGTCGTATGATTACCCATTGCCATTGCCGGAGGATATATTCGCATCCCTCAATGGAGGTACAGTGTTTTCGCAGATAGATCTGTCGGATGCCTATCTGCAGATCGAGTTGTCAGAAGAAGCGAAGAAAATGGTTGCGATAAACACGCATAGAGGATTGTACCAATACAATAGACTGCCGTTTGGAATAAAGACAGCACCAGGGATCTTCCAGCAAATCATGAACAAGATGGTGAATGGTCTGCGAGGGGTAGCAACCTACCTAGATGACATCTTGGTCTGTGGAAAAACCGAAGAAGAACACATGGAGAATCTACTTGCTGTTTTTGCAAGGATAGCCGAATATGGATTCAGGATTCGTCTAGAGAAGTGTTCTTTCGCTAAGCCAGAGATACGATATCTTGGCTTTATAGTAGATCGAAACGGCAGAAGACCGAACTCAGAGAAGATCGAAGCAATCAAGAATATGGACGAACCGAAGAATGCGAACCAACTGAGAGCTTTTCTTGGCATGATAACGTACTATGCGGCGTTCATGCCAAAGATCAAGGATCTTCGTGGGCCATTGGATGCGATGCTCAAGAAAGATGCGAAGTGGGAATGGACACGAACACATCAAGAAGCGTTCGAAAAACTCAAGGAGACTTTGTCGAGTGAGCTAAACCTTGCTCACTATGATCCAAGGCAGAAGATAGTCGTGGCAGCGGACGCTAGTGACTATGGTATCGGTTGTGTGATATCGCATAGGTATGCCGATGGATCCGAAAAGCCAATCGCACATGCATCGAGATCTCTCACGAAAGCAGAGAAGAACTATTCGCAGATCGAAAAGGAGGCATTGGGAATTGTCTTTGCTGTCAAGAAATTCCACAAGTACGTATTCGGACGAAAGTTTTTACTACTGACGGACCATCAACCACTGTTAGCCATCTTCGGTGATAAGAAAGGAGTTCCAGTCTACTCCGCTAACCGACTTATGAGATGGGCTACAATACTGCTTGGATATGACTTTGACATAGAGTATGTCAAGACTACGAAGTTTGGACAAGCAGATGGCTTGTCACGGTTGATGAAGAAGAGTCAGAATAACGAAGAAGACGTCGTGATAGCTGCCGTTGAGAACGACGTGAACTTCATGTTGAAGAACTGCATAAGGAAATTGCCAGTGACGGTATCAGATGTGCAGGCCTATACGAAGAAGGATCCAGTGCTGAAAAGAGTACTGACCTACGTGAAGAAAGGAGAGTGGCCAGATGTGAATGGAGAATTGGCACATTTTCGAAATCGAAGAGAGACATTGTCAATCGTGGAGCAATGTCTGATGTCAGCCGAAAGG